TGGCTTCGAACTCGGGCGATACATACTATGTCAAGCTGGCCAACTATGGCGAGAAATCCGAGAGCGTGCGCGTAACGGTACCGGGAGCGAAGGCTGGAACACTTAGTCTTGTCTCAGACAGTGATCCCGATGCCGCGAACACCGATCTGGAGCAAAACCTGGTGGTTCCCTCCGAAAATAAAGTGAAGTCCAGCAATGGCACCTTCACATTCACGATGCCCGCATGGGGTGTGGGCGTCCTTGCCGTCCATTGATATCTTGGTCCTTTCTTTTGAAGAAGCGGGCTTTCTAACCTCTCATTTCGTGACGCACTACGATTGAAGACTTCGTCGAGATGCGATCTGTTTAGAATGTTAGGTTGGAATGAGTGAAACAAATATGACATTGTATGCACGAAGGTTCAATCAACGATCAAGTTCAAAGTTGGAAGCAAGCTTGGAAAGCATGACCAACAGCAATCAGGCCACTGGCCAGACTGAGGAGTAAAGAGGGGCAGTTGCCACTTCGCGCGGGTCCGACTCCAGTTGCCGTCCAGTCTGGGCTCGTGGCAACCCCACCCTCTAACTAGGCGGGCACGTACTCTGTACGTACCGTAGGTAGATACGGCCCTTGCTAGCCAAACCAAGAATGAACTTCCATACGAAATTTAGTAAATTGTGAGCATAAAGGAAGACTCATTCGACTATCTGGTATGCCAAAGGACGCTTCATACAGTACAGTACCTATCGGTTAATAGATCGTTTTGCACCCAATTTCTATGATGGAATGGCAGTATTATACTCACTACTGACTCAGAGTCTTCGGGTCAGACTAAGTACTGTACCCGTCAAGGAAACACTAAGCTATAGTAGGCTAGTAAGGCTGTTATCGCAGCCCATTTTCCAACACCATTGGTGCGGGTTTGCCCCTCCGCATCGATTAGATAAGATTTTTCTTCCAGTAACTACCAGTCAGTCCCTGTCAACTTTCGTTTTTTTTTTTTTAACGAGGCCAGAGCCCAGAGTCCAGAATCCACGCTGCTATAAAACCCACCAGGCGCCGGCGCTACTCTACTTTTCTTTTTTCCTTTTCTTCTTTGCGCCCTTGGATACAAGCAGTGAGCGACTTCGGAGCTTTGCGCTCACTTATGCTGGCGAAAAGCTCTTGCTTTTTTTTTCTAGCTAGTTACGAGCATTTTTGGGTTCCGTTTTCGTCACAATCTCAAAATCCCGTTATCTTAGCCCTTCCATTTCGCCATGTCGACCTACTTTGAAAGTGAGAAGACCTCGGCAGTCACCGAGGTTCAGCCTCAGCCACCAACAGAGAAAAATGAGCAGCTTCACTCGGTGACTGAGTCGCCAGCGACGGGTTCTCAGGACCAATCCGGGGAGCAGCAGCAGGAGTCGCAGGAGGGACGGTTTCGACAACTTTTCCGTTATATGCGCACTCGCGATTTTTGGCTGCTCATTCTGTTAGGGTGAGACCAATATGATAAAAGCCCGACCAGACCCCGTCACTAATTCACCCGTTCAGACAAGTTATCGCTCTCGCAAACATCAGCTCCTCCACATTTTCCACTCTTCTATCCAATGAAGGAACCAGTATCCCCGCTTTCCAGACGCTGTGGAACTATGTGCTGTTGAACCTGGTGTACACGAGTATTACTATCTACAAGTACGGCTTCAAAAAGTGGTTTCGCATGCTTTACACCGACTGCTGGAAGTACTTCATTCTCTCTTTTCTCGACGTGGAGGGAAACTACTTCATGGTGCTGGCATATCGCTACACCTCGCTTCTGAGTGCCGAGCTGTTCAGTTTCTGGACAATCATCGTGATCGTGATAATCTCCTTTATCTTTCTGCGAGTTCGCTACCACGTCACGCAGTACCTAGGAATTTTCCTCGCCTGCGGTGGTCTCGGTCTTCTCATAGCGTCGGATTATCTTCGTGGAGCTAATTATGCTGCCTCGAACAAGGTCAAAGGAGATCTATTCGCTCTGCTTGCGTCTACCATCTACGCCTTCAGCAATCTGTTCGAGGAGTTCATGGTTTCGAAGCGTCCCATGTACGAAGTCATTGGCCAAATGGGCTTCTGGGGTATGTGGATCAACGGTGTTCAGTGCGCTATCTTTGATCGGAGTTCCTTCCATGGTGCCACCTGGAATGGCAAGGTCGGAGGCTATATCGCCGGATATACCATTGTCCTTTTCATTTTCTACACCCTGGCACCCATCATGTTCCGGCTTTCTTCGGCCACATTTTTCAACATTTCCATGTTGACGATGAATTTCTGGGGCTTGATCATCGGTATCCAGGTCTTTCACTATTCCGTTCACTTCCTCTATCCGATCGCTTTCGTTCTCATTGTGGTCGGTCTCTTTGTCTACTTCATCAAGGAGAGTAAAATGGGTGAAGCAGCAAAGCCATGGCTCGGTGAAAACCAGGAGCTTGGTGTTGATGGCGTGGGTACCGCTCGTCGTGCGCAGAACACTGGACATGCTCTTGTCTAGGCCGAACCTAGCCGGAGGGGGGGGGATGTGGTGAGACGTTTAATGTTGATGGAAATAATGTGCTGTGATAAAAGTTCCTCTTGTTTTTCCTTTTCTTTTTTCGCATTACCCTATATATGTACTAGAACCAGTTAATATGCATAATTAATGCTAGTAGAATAATGACGACATGAGTCAATTGTATGAATTTGGTTCTCTCTTCCTTTCATAGGCACTTTTACGTCGGTGTAACCGCTGCTACCTTTGATGGGTATTGATGAATTCCTGTTACCCGAACATTACAAGCTCTGATCTGGCGCAGCCTACTTGCTCAGATAGACACATATGTCCAATTGAGCCTACTGGGAAAGTCTTCCGTTCAAGTTCAACAACGAGTTCAGAGGGATGGATTCAGTATAGCCCTTTTTCAGACCAGCTTTCACCGTCATTACTAAAATTGCGTCAACTAACCATGTACAGACTCCACCACCATCATCCTTGTAAAAACTGACGCCGACTCGTGATCACATGCTTGATGCATGGAATCCCACGGATAGGACAGCCGAGAAACGAAGGATAAACATCGACCAGGTTTAGCTCGACTACCGCCACTGCGGGTTTGCTACCACATGTTAGACTAACCACTGTGACTGACATGTAAGCTAGTCGAGGGAAGTACTATGTAGTAAGCTACCTCGAGCCGAGCGCCGTTCCTTCTGATCATCGCAAGAACAAAAAACCCGATAAATCCTGACATGATACGGATAGTAGGATCGAAATGCTTGACTGAGGACGCAGGACCGATGTCGCCTCCAGCTGCTCCTGCTTACTCAATAGCCTAGAAAGAATGCAGGGATCTGTTTTTTTTTTCTCCCCTTTTCGCGAGAACCTTCAACTATACCTGCAGCTGCCGAGTTGCCTCAAGTCATGTCTGCCTGTACCTCGTGCAGAAGACTACTCAGGACGAACTGCAATAATTACAACAAAGACAAAGAACTGCCCCAGCACCTTAGTGGAGACAAGTCAATCCACCTTGAACCTTTCAAACAAAGAATACATAAGTCGGATCCGGCGGCTTGAGATTTTTTCTTCTTCAGACATACCTATTGTTGTATCACTTACCTTGGCTTTGTTGCTTCAAGATGCTCTCGAGTAAATCGGAATGTAGGTTCCGGGAGACGGTGGCGCACTGGGACATCGTTAAAAAAAGCAGCGTGTTTCAGTCTCGGTGCGACAGTAGCCTTAGCTGACAAGTCTACTGAGTTTGCAGTTATAGGGCTATTGGAAGATATGAAGAAGAAAAGGCAGGGAAGAACTGAGATAATGAAAAGAAAAAAAAGTTAGCAAAGCAGGGATGCTCGTACTGTACATCAAATGTCTTGTGAACGTTAATGGCAGGGAAAAAAAAAAAAAAAAAAAAAAACCCTTTACCCATTATGTCAGGTAGCCCTGAGCTCTGCTTTACTACAAATAGGTACTGTACTTTTGTTGGCGGAGAAGTCAGATTTGACCAACTCCGGGAACTGCCCCTTCCGTTCCCCAGTGGCTGGATGTGGGAACAACATAATGATGATAATAATTACTACCTATAGTATGTAAATGGGTGGAATAGAAAGCAAAAGACTGGTATGCATATCCACACAGAACACATCAGTCAGTCCCACATATCGAAGATGAAAGGTTATACTCGACTACCTCTGAATCTCCTGGAAATCAAGTTCTCGATCGCTTGGCTGCAAATCCCTTGACTGGTTGTACCTGATCCGAAATGAAAGACAAAAAGGTCAACAACTGGAACTTGGAACGGTGGGGCCCATTGGGCGAAACTACGATTCTTTGTTAACCAGCCCCAGTGCCCCACCCAACCTTGATGATGGGTAAGTTACTGTACGGAGTACCTTGTCAATCAAGAAATTCGGTGTCATATCATATTTCACCCTCGACCCCCCGTCCGACCTACCTTAACATGATGATTTTCACGATGGCACTCGGTTACTATGCATAGCTTCTGGTGGCGGTGCGAATCTTACAAGTACAGTACTCTGCTTAGTAGATCGGAGGACCAGCACCCCCGACGTCATCGTACAGACTGTTTTCCAGTCAGCTGAGGTCTCGGTACCTTGTCCGGTTCGAATTCAAATTGCCTTCGATGTGGGTGATGTCAGATAAAGTAAGTTACCTGACCATGTTCCTCTTCTCCTCCCCACTATCTACAAAGCGACCGTTGAATTGATGAACATGTAGGGTATTGAAGATAGGTCTAAGTTCAAAGTTCAAAGAAAAGATCCTGCACCTCAAATGTGATACATCATAAAACAACCAGAGATTCTAAGATCTGACACCCAAAACAAGAGAGGGGAATTGGTATATCCGGAGCAAGAGACGCTAAATCTAACAGAAGAGGCTCAATAAAACACGTATAGTCAGAACTTTCCCAAGAAGAAAAGAAAGAAAGCACGTCGAGGGCGAATTGATGGAGGAGCTAGCAGAAACCACTAGCAAACCGCTGGCGGGCCACATAGTCAAGGTGGTGCTACTTGGAGGGAGAAGAGTGTGCTCGACTCGTCGCGCGTGCGTTTCTTTCTTCCTCTGACCAAAAATGTCAAGTCAGTATCGGCGACGAATCACACGTTGGAGCTGCGTCTGCATACCTTGAGCCTGCTTGATCTGGCGGATGGTGTCATTGTGAATCTTGGCCCATTGCGCCTGGTAGTCGGCTAGAGTGGGCGTGGGCGATTTGTCCAGCTTGTTGCTGCCGGCCCCCGACTTGGTTGCGGCAATGTTGCGGTCCATTGTGAAGCCTTGTATGTGATATAGATATCGTCGAAGACGGAAAGAACCGAGCGTGGACGTAGGTCTGAGATAAGCTTCGGGGAAGGAGAGACTCGGCGGAAAGTGTTGCAGTCGAGGCAATTGATTAAATGGATGCGCGAGCGTTGGGGACTATACTTCCGGGACGGTCTTGAGGATCTAGGATACTTATATCCCTTTTCTGCTCCCGAAACCTCGGCCTTGCTTAACTTGTTTAACCATCAGTTTCACCCACTCTTTTGCGGGTCAGTCGACCAGGTTGGGAATCCAAACCGTGCCATGTGGCCGCCTAGCGATGAGGCACCCGCCCTATGGATCCGGCTTTGTTCGTTTGCTTCCCTTGCATTCCCTGTCAGAGTGGGTGTCAAAAAAAGTTCCCTGAAGGAGGGGGGGGGGGAAGGCCTGAAGCTGGCTAGTGGTAGGTGGCCTAGCAGATGAGAACCTGATTCAATGACCGGCTGCAGCTCCCATAAAGACTTTGGGAGGGATTTAATGAAGCAATTATTTTCTTCTTCTTTCATGCAAATGCATTTCATTCTTGACCACCGATGGGGAGGAAGGAGCAAGATGAGGATATTGAATCTCAGAAATTGTGGACACGAACTAGTACTAGGAGTTATCGCTTCCTTCGATTCTTGTTCCCCTTTTCCTTTTCGTTCCTTTTTGGTTTATTTCTTCTTTCATGTATCATTTAATCTTTTTTTTTTCTACTTCAGTTTTCTTTTTTCATTCTATCAGGATCAACCCTCGGTCGGCCCTTGCCATCTAGACCAGGCGAGGCCCCGATTGGCCGGGGAAAAGCCCAGCCGCGGCCGTGGCATCGATCCCATTGGTTTTTCATTCAGATCAGGGAACAAGGAGTCGAGGGCGGAACGGAACACGTAGTGATGTTGGACTGTTCGCAGGGTTTTGTGTGACGCTCTGTCGGGATCAACGGTTCTGGGCTGATTGGCCTCTTACTCTCCGATCCGCTCATGCGGATGGCGTTCCGCGTATACTCTCCTGGATCCCCGGTATTTGGGCACCGATGAGCCGGTTAGGCTATGTGGGCACCGCGAAGTCAAAATAGGAAAAAGTGGGCGCCATTGGCGGGACTAGGCTAAGAATCAATCATCGTCCAGGATTTCAGAAGATGAGAGTGGTTTAAAGCTCTAGTATGAAAGTGTTTGGAACTTGGAAGTAGGAGAAAACTGAAGGGTCAGAACGTACTGTACTGTGCGTACTGCGTAGATAGTAAGGATGGCGGGGGGTGGTGGCAGAATCGCGGGCGGGAAGCTTGGATGATGTTCAACCAGTTAACAACCTTGAAGAAATGACACCCAGACCAAAACGACAAACCTCTTCTTGCATGGAGGGTCTTACTTCCTTGATTGGGACATGCAGCCACGATAATTGTTGCTTCACTTGACTGCTGGTACCCATTTTCATCGGTCGAATCTGAGGCACTTTCTTTGTTCTGGGGAAGTTCGATTCCAACAAATACAATTGATAGCGTACACCACACCAGATACCAAGCAAGAGGGCTGTCTCCTCACATAAAAAAAAAAAAAAAAACCAATCCCCCGCCGAATTGGCTCCGATTTCCGAATGGGTTGATCACAACCAAGTCCTGCTCACACTTCTTCGGCTCTCCCCTTTCAGGCCGGAACCCACTGCGAACAGGTCAATCAATTCCACCGACCCATATCGGGATACAGGTTGAAGCAATGTATCGTCCCCTAAGATGGTACCGTACTTTTCTCGATCGTACTATCTACACGACGGCCACCACGGATCTGGACCCGATCGGCTGGACCACTATAGTCTGACCCATTCCGGGCCAAGTGAAATGGCTTCAGGCGATCAGTGTTAGTCCAATCGGGGAACTTGCAGAGCCCCAGGGAGATCCACCGGCAATGGAAGCCCGAAGAAGCATTCGGTTAATTCTTGTCTATTTTCACCGCCACTTCTGATAGATCCAGTTCCAGCCTCAAAGAACAATGAACAGGCCGGTCTTGGCTAGGACAGACCAGCAGAGGATATTAGAGACCGCCAGAACACAACTTACCACTTGGGCGAGACGTCGTGAAACAAACGTGTTGTTGTCGGGCCCACAAAATCTACATCAACGACGCAAAAATGCAAAAAAAAGGTCACCATATCCACCGACTACGCATATCCTTTGATGCAGCCAAATGTGAAGCTTGATAGAAAGGACACATCGTACTGAGCAGGGGTTACTGATTGGCGGGCCATGCGCCATGCCCGATCATGTTGGTTTGCCTACCGACTTTCCTGGTTGCACCGTTGGTCCAGGATGCGTGAGTCCCAGACATATCGCTAGGTATGTTATGCTGCTGTGTCACAGCATCATCATCATCATCATACAAATGCATACCTCATTAGAAGACTTGTGCGCTGATCACTGTCTTAGTCGTCTGCCTTCGCTAATTTTAGGTTCTGTCAACATCGACGGACTCCATGTCTCGGCCTTATTCCTCTGCTTCATATTCTTGCTCATGCCACTACGGCCGAGTATTTTGTTTTCTTTCTTTGTTCGCAGGACTGACCTGTACGACACCAGTTCGCCCTGGTCTAATTTCGGCTGTGTAGACCCTGGTCCTTGTCGAACCTGCAGCCGTCCCGGGCTGGGCCGCAGTTATGAGCCAAGTTTTCGACTCTCGGGCGAGGCTTCTTGACGAGCGAAAAACTCAAGAAAAATTAGCATCTCCTTGCAATCATACCACCTCCGTCAGACATAGAACGAGTTTTGAGCAGGCTATTTCGGACTTGCTTCATGACGAGACATCTATTCGCTTGTTCTAGAGGCTTCAAGGTGGAGGGGTATGCTGAGGCAAAGACTATCTCTGAATGAGACGCGCGTCAGCCATGATGAGCAGAGCTGCATGACTGTATGGAATCCCAGTCTTTGGTCAGCTGGTGGCGTTGCTCTTGACTGGGATCCGACAATTGAATAAAGCATGCCTCTTGGCAGACCATTCTTGTACTTTCCCGCACACAGAAGGGATATCTGATCCCGGATCGAGCTGACTTGTCGCTTCGCAAATTTCAGCCTATGTTTATACTGATTCCACAGAGGACTGGCAGCATTATCCCATTTTTTTGCCTGGCTGGGACTGATCTCTTTGCAAGCCAGGGTACCTGGTCGCCGCTTGTTGCCGCTTGTCGACGCCAAGTGCTGCTTATAATGCCGCAAAGGATGTGTACTTAGAAGTGAAGATTAATGTTGATTCACAGCTTGCAAAATACGAAACGTGATGCGAGTCGCCCTGATTTACGTCCATGCTTTCCCAAAGATACATGATGACTCCTCGATAGGCGCCGTCGAACCCGTGCACTATCTTAGTCCTACCTTCGTCCCGTTTTTGGAACAGCATGTCAATGTCAAATTTTCCTCCCAAGGGCCTGGATCGCGGCTCTCCAGTATCGAGAACTTTTGTGCCAAACGCGCCGTCACATAACCTGCCTCTGTCAGTGCATACTGCTGACCGACGCAAATCCGTGGTCCTCCGTTGAATGGGAGATATTCCCAGCTTGGACGTAGGTCAGCCCACCGCTCGGGTCGGAACTCGTGCACATCCGAACCGAAGAAGTCTTTGCGCCGGTGCATCGCGAACACAGAATACGAGACAACGCTGCCCTTCGGCACGAAGATGCGGGACTTGCCATCCGGGCCACCACCAGTAGGAAGGATGGTGTCGGTTTGGGCAAAACGAGCGTTAGCAGGAACCACGGGGTGAAGGCGAAGCGCTGAAGGAGTCAGTCAGTGCAAGGGACTCTAAAAAGCGAGCGAGTGGACTTCGACTTACATTCGTTCAGGCAGTACTTTAGGTACGTCAGGTTGCGCAGCTGCTCATATGTAGGCGTACGCCCTTCCAGTGTTGCGACTTCCTCGCGCAATTTGTGCCAGACTTCGGGGTGTTTTGCAAGCATGAAGAACAAGTTGCTCAGTAAGGATGCGGTGGTATCCCTTCCAGCCAGGAGGACGTTGATCAGCTCGCTACGAATACGTGTCCGGTCACCAGTCTGCTGCGCTAGGCTATCAAGGAACAAGTATCTGTGCTTCTCCTGTGTGTCGTTCTCTTGACTGCACCGCTCACGCGTCCGTAGAGCCTTGTCGACAAACTGCTCGACTAGATCATGGCATATACGATCGCATTGATCGGCTTTGGGGTCGCGATAAAGGTATCTTAGCTTGCCCAAGCGTGCTCTTGTGGCAATAGCATACTGAGAATAATTAAATGCCTCCGCGAAACCCTTCTCTTCCTCTATGCTCTGAGGGAGCCCCGCCCTTCGCTTCTTCAAACTGTTTACGCTGTGCCCAAACAGGAAATCGGTGGCAGAGTCGATGGTGAATCCGAAGAACAGATCTTGAAGATCGACGGTGGTTCCATCGGGTGGTATGAGGGCCAGCAAATCATCCATAAGCTCCTCGAAAATGTCAAGATGGGCGACCTGCTCCTTGGCGAAATTGGGGCGGACCATAGCCCGCGATTGGGCCCAATGCTCGCCATCTGTTGTGAAGATACCATGTCCGAGGAGCGGCCCGAAGGAGTGGATACGATCCCCCAGACCATAGTCCTTGAATCGAAGAGAGAGAATAGTTTTCACATTCTCGGGATCGCGCGTTGCGATCACGGTTGTGCCCAGCCGACGAGCTTGGAATGTGTTGCCGTAGGTCTCAAAGCGGTCGACACTTCTCTCGAGAAAGTTGTGTTCTTTGGCCTCCTTCATTCGCTGATAAATCCCATCGAGGCCGAAAACCGGGTCCCATTCACAGAGGGTCGGGGGTGGTTGGCATTGGTTTGCTCTGGCCATGCGATATTGCTTCCATCGACGATTCAAATAAGTGAGGACTGAGCTGAGGACAACGACAGCGGCAGCGAATACCGCAACGGGATGGTGGGGTGTGTAGGAATTCATGGTTGCAATTCGTGCCAGTCCTCGCATTACTGGCGTTGATGATAAGTGATGAAGTAGCTAGCAAAAAGGAAGGGGAGGGGAGAAGTTGCCGATGAAGTGGCTTTTATCCAAGAAAGGCAAACGGCTTGTGATGTGTTATGCCCGCCTGTGTTCAGCCGGGGTTCGGACAGGCGTAAATCAAAGACCGAGAATGTAAGAGTGCTGATGATTTGGTTTGACCTGTGAAGTTTAAGTGGGAGCGGAGATTCTTGCGAGTGGAGCCGGAACTGTAGGCGGAGCATTACCTTACCTTTTTTTTTTTTTTTTAATTTGACACATGTATCGTCTCCTCTTGGGGCACGAGGGAGGACATCGACAAAGCCACCTTTCAATGACGACTGCGTCAACCTATAGCTGACTACCTGTTACCTGATAAGAGATTCCGAGATATCGTACCATGTTTGCCCGCACGGTGAATAGAGATTACGATTACGGGGCTTGGGATGAAGTCATTTGGTACAGTAGCTCATACAAAATCAAAGAACTCTCTGTCTGTCAGCCCAGCCGCAAGCGGTTTGGCTCGATCTTTCCCCGCAAATTTCCATGGAATAAATCAAGGTTTTTGACATGAGCCGAGGTAGCTACAGCCTCAGCCTCTTCTTCCTTTGGGTTGTCTTCTCTCTCTCCAGCTGACATGGTGGTCGTCTTGGAGAGAGGGGAGAGGGGGGTAAAGCAGAAGAACAGAAAAAAGAAAATAAAAAGAGAAAAAAAAAGGAACAAAAATTCAGGTCAGTACGGAGTGGGTAGCAAGTACCTTATCCTTGCTGCCTACAATCCGAAATGCACCCAGTAAAGTTAATACTGACTGACTGACTGACGGGCTCGCTGGCACGACACTACCTAGTACTCACTCAAAGCCTTAACTCCGTGTGTCCCTTGAGCCTAAACTCCGACACGGTCCTTCGGCATTCGGATTGCCCGAATGCCTTTCCAGCCGGTCGGTTTACAGATGAGGGGAGGGAACACTGGACCCTTTATCAACTTTGGGAGCAAGAAAAAAGAAGAAGAAGAAGACAACTGGTACCTACGGAGTAGAAACGCAGAGGTGTAGTTAGCGGGGTGACCTCAAAGTACAGGACAGTACAGAACAGTACAGTTAAGTTACTTGCTTGAGTCAAAGCTCTCACAAGTGGGCAGACGAGGTCGAAATAAGCACAAGCCCCGCTTTGGCTGCTGCTGCTCGGCTTTGCTCCTGATCCGGGAAATCCTTCGCATCTCGCCCGCAGCTCTAGCTGGCTCCTTCAGGACTCACTATAGTGTTTTATCGGTCAATTGGAGACGGATAGTGGGGGGGGAATCCCTACATGGAGATGGATGTTTAGCTATGGATTTCACTTTGCTTTGACAATGAGCTTAGGTGGGTTATATCTGGACCCACGCGAGGAACAACTGCCGTTGCCCGTACGTTCTTGATGTTGGTAGGCGCGGATACCGCAGTTGTTGTGTGTGTGGGGGGGGGGGGGGGCGCGGTTGATGTACTCGCGGGATCTTTACCACTTCCCACGTGGTGGCCAACAAACAGGAAAGGGCTTGGTGATGATCTTGAGGCTACAAGCGTAGCGTTCGCGACATATAGTATTGCACGGACGTACTTCGCTTGCTGTGAAGCTTGGAAAGGACGCTGGACTCCATCCGCCCGAGACCTATGTTGTTGGGTGGCCTGGGCCACGCTACTCCATCCGTATCGAACCCATAAGTCGCGTCAAGACCATTTGCCTAAGGGTCGGTCGATGAATATATATTTCCAGGTGGAGGTAGGGTCTTTTGGAAGCGGTGGCTTGAGAAGCTTCTTCGATCCTAGTGATATACTTTTGCATATTTTTACCATGGGAAACAGGCAGGGCCTGGCCGAAATGGGACTCCGAAGGCGCAGTTCCGATATTTCATTCAGACTCAGTAGGTGCATCAGTGCTATCTCCAAAGACTCCGCACAAGGAAGAGCATCCGGTCCAAGTGACCAAGGGGAAAAAACCGACGCATGACCAACCGCCCGGTCACCGGTAGCACCACTACGTCAACGCAATCACCAAGAAAAGGCCTACCCGGAACCCAACTCCGATGTCATCATCGTCATCTCGTACTAAAAAAGAGAACAACTTGCTTGTTGAGATGTGATGTTCAGTTGCGTGAGGCGTTTTGCCAGTCCAGTTGCTTGTCCTACTTTTTTTCACCTGGAGGGGTGTAAACCGCGCCACCTTTACCGTCGTTGTAGTAGGTGCTTCCATCCGAGTTGGAGTAGTAGTACGAGCCATCGCTAAACCCGGCTGTCAGGTCCATGCATGAATGTGAATATGAGGAAGCGAGAACAACGGATTCTTACCGGTTGCTGTAGTGGTAGGCATCGCCGTGGCCATAACCGTTGGAGTCGGAGCCAGTGCCGTAGTCGCGGGAGCACCAGTGGTTGCCCTGGGACTTGTTATTCAGTGCTTCGAGATATCTTGAAGATTGCCGATGGTACTCTCTGTGGTGAGGACGTGTAGGAGGAGGTAGTGCTTACCTGGCTGTTGGTGCCGGACCCGGTGTGGGTGAAGCCCTTTCCAGAATCTCCGGGGTTGGACATGGTGGATGTAGTTCAGTTGCTTTGGTATTTTTTTGAATGGCGAGTAGAGGCTAGGAGAAAATAGGACGAGTGCAGATACACGATGGCAAAGACGGCGACGACGAAGGAATTGATGGTGATGGAAGGGATCTCCGAAAGAGAGAGAGAGAGAAAGAGAGAGAGAGAGAGAGAGAGAGAGAGTGTGTGTGTGTGTGTATATATCTTGACGGCAGAATGACCAGATATAGCGGAAGTGTTGATTACGAACGTAATATTGATGGATTTACTTGCTCAAAGAGGAAAGCTTGATGCCTTGAGAATCGTTGAATTATTAAGGAAAGAGGAATTGGTCACGGATTTCGTGGTGTTTACATACGTCCAGTTCAATTTGAAATCATGTGACTCGTTGAAACGAGGCGTTACACGCACAAGCCGATAGGAAGACTATTAACTGATTCCACTTTTTAAAGGAAACCACCCGCCAAATGAGATAATGAACGGATCCATGTTCCTTCCGCTTACTTCTTTTTCTTTTTCTTCTGTTCCAACTCATATACAGATCCAGGAATTAGCCTGGTGTCTTTCCAATACTGTACATCAACAGACCGATACCTTCACCTTCTACCCCACTACCCTCCTACCCTGCATGTTAAATGCTAGCCAACAATTATCAAATTAGCCGTTATTGTCGACCCTGCTTTCTCCTCATTCCTCAATCAAGCTCCTTAACCTGGCTCCGATTCTAGAACTTGCAGAAAGATTTTGGCGCATGCAGTTTTATTGGAATAATATCAACAATCTCAATACAAGCATAACATCAATGGACATCAACAACGGAACAAGACCAAACTATCCGGATAGCTTTTCACCCATCTGCCTCTCTTTCCGAGCCTTCTTCCTCTGGGGAACCCGATATACAACCGGTTTTAGAACACCATCTAGACGTAGGTGACCTTGACGGTGGATCCTGAGACGCTGACGGAAGTCAAGACCTCGCCGTCCTGCTCAATGTCCATGAGGGTGGCACCGGAAGGAGTGACAGTCTCGCCATTGCTGATAGCCTCAGCTCCGGTGAAAGTGACAGTGCCGAAGTCAGCAAAAGCGACCAGAGAGTCACCGGATTCGAAGTCCTCAACAATCCATTCCGCGTTGGTCCTTTATCATTGGTCAGTCCTTGTTGTCGGGTACAGTATCAGGGATGATCATGACTTACTCGCAGAGGCGGCCCTCGACGTTACCGCTGAAGCTGTGGGTGACGGATTGACCGGTGGAGACGTTCTCGACGGTGGCCGTGCCGCTGGTGTCGCTGGTGGCCTTGACGGTGACCTTGATCGAATCACCCTCGGAGATATCGATGTTGTCGAAGTCGTAGGCGTAGTCGGGGTACCATTCGTACCAGGCGTCGTAGTAGGTCTCGCCGTCCTCGTAGCAGAAGTCGATACCGGTCTGGAGGATGGCGGTCTCGCAGGTGTCACCGTCAATACCAACCCAGGCGGAGGCACAGTACTCAGAACCACCGCCGAAGCCAGAACCTCCCCTTGGGGAAGAAACTGCGGGCACGACAAATTCACCAGTGACTTCGGAGTAGCCCGAGCCAATCAAGACCGCACCGGCCCAGTTAGAGCTGTACTCAACCTGGGAGATGTTGGCGTGCTGGAGAGGTGTGTTGGTGGCAGGGCTCAACGGAGGGTTGCTCTTGCGCTTCAAGCCAGTGGCACGGCGGGCCTCGGCGCGAGCCTCGGCGCGGGCACGACGCTTCTCAGTGAGAGGAGCAGCCAAAGCAGCGCTGGCGAGGAGCGAGCCGGTAAGAATGGTGGTGAACTTCATTTTGGCAGAAAGAAGGTTTTTTTCACGAGGGGATGAAGGCACGTATTGAGCAGAAGAAAGAACCAGAGGCGATGCTTGAAGCTGTCCGATGCTGGATGGTTCCAAGGAGACTTGAGGGGAGGTTCTCAGTCCTTATTTATATGCTGCTCAGGGCAGCTTTCTGCTCGTCCGGCCATGGACGTGGTGAGTTGACGCTGCGCGATACAGAAAGTTGGTTGTAGGCTCATGCAACCTCATCAACAATGGCTCCATAATTGTGATACTCCGGCGGAGATTACTCGCTTAGGCCGGCGACAATATGAATTGGAGAACGGAGTCGACCGTTCGCCGTCGGCCCTGATGGGGCTTTACTCCATCCTTCAGCAACTATCCAGTAGCTGCAGAAAGCCCCGTTGGCCGTTGCTGAAGTTTAGTCAGTGGGTGTCATTCGATGAAGCCCTAAGTATCCACTCTGACTCGGGGGAAGAAAGTGTGACGGGCGCGCGGACCTCCAGCCAAGACTATGGGGGCTCGTCAAGCATTTTCTAGAGTATGACGGTGTCAGTTCTCCAAACTGTCTCTGTCTACAGTCACGACTCTATTGTCTGATGCCTACCTTTGGTCAATTTCTCTAGGTGGCTTCGCGATGCTCATGCCAGCATCGCAACAATTCGAATAGGAAAACGAGGTCATCGGTTAGAGCAAGGTATAGTTGGTGCCTGGCAAGCCAGTATCCCTGACAGCAGTGATTGGTGGTAAGGCCTGTTCCTCTCTCGACCGAGGAGCGAACGGAGGTCCGACGGGGGGCTTATCGGTAGCGACAGCCGGACGCCATCCTCACGCCATGGCGCTGACGAATAGTGCACAGATGCGAGGTAGACTAGTGGCGGCGCGAGTGGCACAACAAGCTTTGAAGAACTAGGACAAGCCTTCCAGACTCAATATGTTTGTATGATAAGGGAGGTTGTTCGGGGAAATTGTGGATGGGCCGACACTCGGAGATACAGTACAGTACATTGGTTTGTCAGTGAAGCAAATTAATTTGAATGGGCGGGCCGGAGCGGACTCCACTCCGGCCGCCGATCCTTTCCCGCTCTGGCTCTCTTCGTCCTTCTTCCGAGGTCCATTAAGTGTTCATCCGCCAACGTTACAATTCTTCCTGGACAATTACAATCACAATTATGCAGTCTACTGCACTAGGCTGTAGAGAAATATGTTCTCTTCCTCGGTCTCCAGCTTGAGCAAGTTCTCTCGTTCAAGCAGCTGCTCCGTGGGGGAGCAATTTGTGTGTCTCCACATCCATGATGGCGTCCATAGATGCTTATCATGCCCATGCAGATAAGAGGCGACTGCCACTGCAGAATTAGTCCTCAGTTGGCTGCAGAAGCTGGAGGAATAATCATTCGACTGCTTATCATTCTCTACACATGCTCGGATGACCCGGATGCTATCCCTGGTCGCTAGGGTCAATGAACGAGGGGTAAGTTCTGACTTCTCCTGCAGACAGACGCAAGGCACACCGTGAGCGAAACCAACTACAACCTCGGCTAACCACTTACGGTCTGCGATAGCTGACGCACCGGCGTGTCGCTATTTTGGATAGTTGGGCTATATTGGGCCTAACGGCTAATCAATGCGGTTTATTTACAGCTTCCCCTCACTCTGTCTTTCCACCCAGCATTGCACGAAGTGGGCCGACCCGCAAACTTCTATATTAGGGCGACGAACTGTTCAGCGCTGCGGAAGTTTCTGCAGTGTGACCAAGGTGGCCAGCCATGATTATGATGTAATTGACAGGTTTTCGAGTCCTCTCTCGCCTGCATCGACCAAGTCATGCAGCAGCCTCCTTTCAAAGACAAATCACTACAACGCCGGCTTATCTCGAGCTAAACACATTCAGCGTCGGTCTCCGATGAGAAAACTTGCCACTCATTCAACCGCTTCAAAGTTCGCTCGCATTTGCTTCGGATGGCTTCCACTGCATCGGGGCCCAGCACCAATTCTCCCGGCCAATCTCGGCCACTGGCCTCGTTCTCGCCGTGGATGACATCCAAAACACGAGCCACGGCTTTTGTTGGGTCACCCCGTTGCTTGCCGTGAGCATTGCGGAAGTTTGCGAACGAAGCAGCCGTCAGGTCTCGATACTCTGGAATATTGGTCTCGACAAACGTGCTTTTCCGCGGGCTCAGGAGATCTGTACGAAATTGGCCGGGTTCGACCAAAAGGGTTCTTATGCCTGTGCCGGCGGTCTCTTGGGCAAGCGCCTCGGTGAAGTCTGGAACAAAAAGCATGAATGTCCATCCGGGGCCATCAGTGGATAAAATTGGGCTCACATCGAAAAGCCGCCTTGGAAGCACTATAGGCACCCACACCCGGGTATGTCTCCCATGCACAGAGGGAACCGATGTTGACGATCGTTCCCGCACGGCGTCGACGAAAATGAGGCAGCAGGCCACGAGTGAGAGCTATTGGCCCGAAAGCATTTGTCTGGAACTCCTTAAGACACTCATCGTAGCTACTCATACGGTCAACAATGCACCTTTTCTTACCCCGAATCAAACCATACCTGAGATCTTCTACCGCTCCGAAGAGCGTGTATCCTGCATTGTTCACCAGTATATCGACGCTGCCATAAATCGCAAGGGCCGCTGTTGCTGTTCGATTTAATTCCTCCTGCGATGCTGTCACATCGAGTGTGAGCGTAGCTGCACCAAGCTCTTGCAGAGGGGCAAGCTTGGCAATATCGCGGGCAAGCGCGATGACTTTATGGCCTCGGTGGAGTGCCTGACGGGCGAATTCGTAACCGAGTCCCGACGAGCAACCGGTAATGAGATAAATTTGAGACATGATTGACACTTGGAAATTGAGAACTGGAGTTGGTTACCAGTCACGACTTTGAAGCATTCACGAGCTATTTATATGCAGGGAGATCGTATACCATGGTGTTGCCGAGCCCGAAGAATTTCGGACGACGATCGCGATCGACGTCAAGTGACAGCGGCTTCGCCACATGCTCTCCGACAGATTTCGGGAATCTACAAAACGCGATTTCATCTCAGAAAATTGCAGCTACCTCATTTGACAGGGTCAGTCCGATGAAGATTTCAGAGCAGTCTATAATTTATTTTGTCTATCCAGGACATGTTCATCTATACCAATTTACATCTCTATCCAGCGACCCCCCCCGTCTCTCTCTAGGAGAGACTAACAAAGCAGCAAAGCTCAGACGATCTATATCTATCCGCTGTAATCGATGGTAACGGCCAAGCGGACCGCGCCGCTCGAAAGGTTTCCTCCGATACCACCCACGGCACTCTCGGCGGAGGTGTAGGCGTTATCAACGGTACCAGCATCGGTGGTGATTGAGGAGCAGGTACTGCCCAGAGCATCGCAGATCTTCATGCCCTGGACGGTCATGCTGGCATCCTGGGCCTGGATGGCGCTGACATCGAATCCGGACCAGCCGTTGTTGGCATCGGAGCCAAAGTCGAACTCACCCCAGGTGCAGGCATAGCCACCATAGCTGTCGGTGGGGAGGCTGCTGCCCGCGGCGGCACCGAAGCCACCATTGGAGTTCTCCATGAAAGCGACGTACTTGGTCTCACCGGCCGCCAGAGTGAGGCTGAGAGCAGAGTAACCGTACCAGCCATCCATGGAGCCGTCGGGGCCGTACTTGTTCCAGAAGACAACGGTCCAGTCTTCAGTGTTTTGGCCCGAGATCTGCATCACATATTCGTACGAGGAAGCCTCGTCGGCCGACACCTCGATCATGTTGCTACCCCACGGGTTGCCGACGTTGCCTTGATATGTGTTGCCGGAGCTGTAGGCGGCGGTGCTGGCACCGAAGCCAGAGGTGGAGTAGCTTCCACTAGCCGGAGTGGCGGTCCAGTCGGAGGAGGAGGCCGAAGTGGACGAAGTGGCGGAGGAAACGACGGAAGTGGTCGAGGAAGCACCCCAGTTCCACTGGCGACGCTCGTTGCCCTGGGGCACAGCGAGGGTGCCGGCGCCGAGGGCGCTCAGCAGGAAAAGAGAGCGGGTGATGAACTGCATCCTGACTGATAGTATCAAGAGAGAGTGTGTGGGCTTTTGTTGTAGAGAACGTTCCTACGCGTCAAGCGAGGACTATGTCTGATTGAAGTGGCAAGGAAGGAAAGGCTGTCGATACAATCAAGTATCGACGACAAATGATAGAGAATGTGAGTTACGATTGTAACTTAACGAAAAGACCAAAGGAAAAGACTGAACGAAAAGACTTGATGTCTTTATTGAAATGAATGTGACTGACGAACGAACAGGTGCATAAGAAGGAGGGCGTCGGCCCCTCTAAATAGCCTGCTTGAATCGACCCTGTGGGCCCCCCATCCGCATCCCCCTGGGTAGGGCTTTGGTCTGGACCCTTGGGTTTACGACGCCGAGAAAGGAGACATGTGCCACCCAGAGTGGGAATGGGTAAAAGAGGAGAGAAAGAGCAAGGGTGACGAGCGAATGCGTCAGCTTCAATCGACTCAGGAACCATGGAGAGGATCAGAGGCAGTGACAAGCACAGGAAGCCGATTGGCTGTGGGGCAGAAAGTTGGGGAGAAAAACGCTATGAGCATGAACGGCCACGCAGGGTGGACAGGGTGGATTTAGGGTTGGAAAGACTCGACGACGGTGGGGAAAAGAGTGGAACAGTTACAGAAGTCCATTTGTGAAGGAAGGCAGCAGCGGTATGTATCGCCTCCCCATTTCTATTTGTCGTGCCGTTAACGTGACGGACAATCAACCTTGCAAGGATAAGTAACACGAGACAATACCAAGAAGACCCCTTTGTGCTGATACAAAGGGATTTTCTTGGTATTGTCTCGAGATGCGGCACCTGCTGGCCTTGAAAGAAGAAGTGAAGCCGAGCAGGAGCCAGAAGCGGGTCCAAGTAAAGATTCTTCTACTGGGGCTAGTTAGAAGAAGATCGAAATGTAGACTAGGGCACGAGAGCAATGTATTATCCAAGAGGATTGGCATGGTCTGTGGTCTCGGGGACTTTTCTGTCAGTGGGTACTCGGGTTTCCACTTTTATTCTGTCTTCTGGCCTCTGCTGCTGTTTTGACAGCGGTTTGTTTTTTCCCAGCTAGGTGAGCTCTTTTCCGATCGATTCTTCGAGGCCACAGGTGGCTCTTCTTCGCCCTTGCTCGTCCTCTCGTCACCCCTGTAGATGTCCGAAAGAGCCCTCTCATCGCATTGTTTCTACAATGCGCTTTCCAGACCTAAAAAAAGCGCACTTGACACAGATACCCTAAAAGACCAACAAAGCGCAAGCAGAACAATGCAGCCACGGCTCAATACTCTCGGCCAGGGACCGCGACTCCACTTTTCTCTATGTACTAAGCCCAGCATGTGTATCTCCGCTGACTCATCTAGCAGGGCCTTTTCTAAGCTGGCCAATGGCAATACAATCCATGAACAGCATCTCCCCGGGTCAAGCGTGCTCAATGCTCATTGGCAATTGTACAACCACGGAAGAGATGATTAAATTACCTGTTCCAGCCAAGATGCAAAGCCCGATCCATCGGAACTGGCCCTTCTTCGAAACACAAAATTCGCACTCCCACCAAGCCCCTGCACCTCAAGGCAACGGGGCTTTTAGGGCACCGCGACGCATGGAACGGTCGGTGTGCGCGTACCTGGCGATGAGCCAGAGATTGCACCTAGTCCCAGCCCGCGGGTTTCCAGTCGGTTACTTCCATCTGGTCCACGCCTTTTTTCCCATATTCTACTTGCCGAGCCTTGTCCATGGACCAATGTTTGATTTTTCCTGAAAGAGAAAAAGAGAATGAGGAAAGGATACCGAAGGGCCCGGCAGCCTTTGGGGCTACTGACTCTATGCTGTAGGGCAAGAGCTTTAGGGCATACACACTACACTTGCATACAATTCACTGGGAATGGCTGGATTTCTTCTGTCAAGTGGGACATAAGTGCAGTACCTCCACTTTCAACTCAGGCCCTGCGAATGAGACTTTGACGGGCTTGGTGTGCCCTAACGAGGTACTAGCACAGCAGGCAAGTTTGTGTTATGTAGGTCCGCTCCACCACCTTCTACGTAAAGGTTCTAGACTTTGACTTGCGCACGATGCAGGTTCTGACGAAGTTAATCTAGCCACCGGAATTCAACCCACTCAGGTTCAGGACGTGGCATCGGAGACTTGCTACGTGTGTCCATTGACCAAGTGCTGCCTGGATCAAGCCAATTGTCCATTCGTTCCTCATTGGAATGGGCCTGTCCTTTCAGCAAGCGTCGAGTCGCTTGGAGCGACAGCGCGTCACGTCACGCGGGTTTGTCTGGAACTGCTCGCGATCTTACTGGGGAGTCTTATCGGCCCCGCTCTTGAGTTGACCTACGACGACAGATCCAGCAGAATCAATCAAGCGATGAACGATCTACGTAGTCGTTTGATTTCATCAAAATCAATGCCTGAGTGTACTATGACACCTCGCTAGGATGAACGAGGTCACTTTGTGTGTCGATGGCCGAAAAGACCTGAGAAAGGTTCGTTATTTAGAGGTTAACCCATGTCCCCCCTCGCCACGCGAAGTTGAAGTCGCACTTGTGCCTATCCTGTCACAGTAACGGCAATTTTGACTTTGTATTCTCAAAGCTGGGGCCAATGGGGCGGTTGAAATGATTACAACGAATGGCCATCCTTGATTTATGAACCGGAAATGCAGGCTTTAGTTCCGCTGTTATCCGACAGGCTGAGCTTGCTAGCCTGCGGAGTGGGCTTATGTGGTCAGGAGGGGGTCAGTTGATGCTTTATCGGTCGTTGTGGTCGGGGCCTGTTTCTTTACAGTCGAATGCAATGTAAACTTGGTCTGATGTGTTGTCAAGGTAGCATGGCTTGACCACGAACCCTCGATATACTGCAGTGTGGGCAAGGTTTCAAGCTTCTATTGTTTACTTGCAGCTGCAATCGCAATATCGCCCTTCGAAGTTCACCTGCACTCGGTTATCGTTGAGCTCAGATCCGAGGCACGCGTCGCGTCCGAATGCTGTGTCGTTCCTACATATCATCCTTCCAGACCCCAACCCGAAACTCCAAACCAGCACAATCCAGAAACCTTTCTCAAAGAGCATGCATTAAACCTGAGAGGCTCGGAAAGAAAAGAAGCCCATACCCCATACAGTTTCCAAGTATATACTCTCGACCTTACTCCCTCTGCAACAATACCAGGACCCCCATCACACCCAGCATAACCGTCTTCAACCACGGATGCTCCGACAGAAGAATGGTCACGTACCCGACAAACGGAATGTACCCAAACACACTGCCCACGACATCCTCCCGATCGAGGTAATCCTGTCCGCGCGCGTAGAGTTCCGTATCATCGGCGATGTTGTTGTCACCTTTTGTGAGGAGTTTCGAGTTGGACCTGTTTGCATATTCATACCCCAGAATTAGCCTGATGCCCTTGCTTTTGTTCAACTCATCTCAACCTCAACCCTGCTGCAAATGCGTATACTCCCCCCACTCCAGAATTCAAAGCAGCGGTAGCACTAAAAAAGAAAACAAAGGAAGGAAGAAAAACCCACTCATCACCAAACTGTCGCACCACCCGATGTACGATCGGAATCTCCTTATCTTTGACCTGATACACCACGATCTCCCCCACGTTCAGCATGGGCTGGTTGTTCCGGAGGAAGAGGAGGTCGCCGCGCTGGAAGGCCGGTTCCATCGAGCCACTGAGGACGACGACGATGGGGCTGGGCGAGTTGGTGAGGACGGAGAGACCTTTCCACATCTGGTTTATTGAGTCGCCATGGTCAGCCACCGTTTCGCACAAAGCTCCATTGCCAATCGTGTAGGGCAGAAGAGCTGTGGCGGTTCTCGCGCGCGCAGCTAGCTAGCTACGACCCCTGCGAAAACCCGCGCACGCACTCTGCCTTTGGCGGGAACGTACCATAAAGGCGGTGCTGAGCACCAGACCGAAATTCAGGATCTGGGCGGCGGTTTGCCGGACATTTTGAATGCCGGAGAGCATGATGGGCGTGTGTAAGAGGCCGGGGGAATGAGGGGTGGGTGGACTTTTTTTTTTTTCTCTCCCCGATGTATTCGATGTTGATTTGGCTAACAGGTGGCCTTCTCTTGTTGATAGGGCGGGACGGGTGCGATGATGTTGATTCGCATGTGTCAGCAGCGGCGGCTTCTCCGGGGAATGGTCATGTGATTGGATTCTTCCTGGGATGCTGGCAGTGCTAACCGTTTTGGGTTTCAGCTCGTTTGAAGAGGTGCAGAGTGCATGAAGATTATGTTGTTGAACACCGAGACTTTTCAGTGCATCATTGGAATGACTTGAAGCCTCGCTACGATTATATCTACATATGTTGTGTATTTAGGTCAATGGCAAGATACTTATCATCCCATGTGCCGGGTTGTGAAAGCCTACACCCCGACACCCTTAGCAGGGTCATAAGGAGCAGCAATCTCCCTCTCTATAGACAGGATTTCCCTAATTACCGGCTGAGAGATAAGATGGTAAGTTACTCATGTGGTCAATATAGAGTACCTTCACCCGAGCTCTCTTATATGTAATAAGCATTGGAGTTGATAGCATATGAAAGTAACTCGCCCATGCCATAATTAAGTGGCTCTCCAGCCTGGACTAGGGTTTCTTCCTACTCAATGCCTACGCATACAGCTAGTATCACCAGCTCCTCCGTGAGAGAGAGCAGGCGGGATATCCTAAGGGTGGGGAATTACGAAATTCATTGTCATGCCATATGTAGATGAGGAGATATGCCACTTGGTACTCTAGTCCAGGAATTAGATGTTCTGCCATTGTCTCGGCTAACTTATTGGCTTCTTCCCTGGCCCGATGGCACTATTAGGTAACCTGGAAGCACTCTGTTTTCTCTTTCTTCTGTTTGCTCATCGATTAGCAATTGAATCGATCATTATATCCAATCCTCTTCAGTAGTTCATATGGTCCTATGTTACAATGGTGGGATCGTGGGGTGACAATTGATCGCATTGTTCAGTCAGCCAGTCCTTCAGTAGGCACGATTGTGTGAAGTCCTGAGGAGAAAACGAATGTCACGCCCACCCATGCGCTGCCATATCAATTAGAGCTAAACAAGCTAGAGACTAGATCGGCGTGACCGAAACCTGCCCAATGACGCAGTAGGATCCGTTAAACAAGGCGAGCTGAAGAGGTGTCAAGCACGCTAAGCATGGCACGTGCGGGGCGCAGCTCTCTGGGTTGGCTTATCAGCAGCTGTCACTTCCTATCGGCCTGACGAGTCCAGACCAGCGTTTGCCGATCTTGCAGTGCGAGCCGTGCCGATGACGGAGGTGGGAGCGATAGCTGAGGCGAGAGGTAGGACGATGCTCCCAGGCAGGCTTCCGGCTGAGCTGAATCAACAAGTTAAGTAGGCTAACTACCCTGCCTCTGTCGGCCTTAGCCTTGCTCCTCTTCCCAAAACCCCCTCAATTTGATCAGCGCTTCCTATACCCACTATCAGCGAGCATTCCACCATCGAGCTTGCCATCATGACTATCTCCCACTACGGCGTCTGGATCGGCCAGCCCACCCGCTACGAGGCTCAGACCGACGCCGAGGATCCCAAGTCCCCGCACATCTACCTCGACTTCAAAGACGACACTTCTTCCCGCAAGCAGCTCGAGGCCGCCATCAACGTCAAGTCCACCGATAAGGATAGTCGCCTCGTCTACTGGTTCGACCGCAACTTCACCCACGCCATCACCGAGCAGCTCGACAGCCTGGACCAGGGCTTCCACCTCCTCAGCAGCTCCGTACACAGCCAGTCTCGCCGGCGCCGCGAGACCACAGCGAGCATCCAGGGGCTGGACTTTGTCCGCACCAAGGGCCTGGTGGACATCGATGCTGGCACGGTCCTCGGGGCGGACGGTGACCAAGACATCCTCGATCAGGTGGACCCCATCCTGACGGACGCGATCAACCAGAAGGCGACCATCTACATCTTCGGCTCCTCTTATGGCTCGGGGATCCATGATATCCACATGAATCAGGGCAGCGAAGGCTACACGAATGGGATCTATGAAGACGGGGCGTTGCTGTTCAAGTTCGCTGATGGGCATTGGGAGGCGATCTTCTTGGCCTTCGCGTCTCAGAAAATCCCCACGGATGACAAGGGTGAGCCCGAGAGTGATAGCCAGTCGTTGGCTACGATTCTGGGTCAGTAGGCGCGGGGCTGGTTTCGGGATGAGGGGCAATGGGGTGAGACGTGTGTCACATCGCCGATTGATTTGATAGGTTGATCATGCGCTTCCATATATCATCAGTTCCACTGAACTCCGACTGTAAGCAAGAGATACAGTAGAAGACTATCAGTGATCGCATAAAGCATTAATAATTGATCCAAAAGTAAAGAGAAGAGGTCTCAGTATATCGACTGTGGAGGCTGTTCGTTAACGGCCCCTGCAGAAGCCTGTAAATCAGTATTAACGTTCTAGTAAACAAAAAGTAAAGTGCAGTCAACGGCACCAAAGCCACAGTGATACCGTTCATCCCTGTTGCATCCTCTCAAGCATCGTGTCCGTAAACGCCCAGAGTAGCGAGGAATAGTCCGAACAGAAGGTCAGCCCCGTGTAGAAGGTGCTCCTTTGTCCCTGCAGCGCATATAGCCGGCGATAGAACCCCGACTGGATGTCCTCCGGAGAAACCATCATGCTCGTTGGGGAATGATCCGCGAATGCCACGACCTCGGGCTCATGGATCGAATACGTGCCCGCGGTCTTCATGCGGGCAAAATCCGACGCGATGAGCTGCTTGGCGTCCTCCGCGGTGAAATTCATCGGCCCCACGATCTTGGTGTTTGGGTGACCCGGCACCCCCATGTACTGGATCAGGGACTCAAAGGGCATCTCGGGGAGGAATCCCGGCCCCGTGCGGGGGTTGGTGTTGGTCACGTATCGGCCATCCGGAATGCCGCTGTTGCTGGTCACCGCCACATAGTAGTTGCGCCAGGACCACTTGCTGAAGAGGTCACTCTCTTCTTGAGTGAGATCGAAGCCCTGGAGTTTTTCCATGGTCGGAGGGTGGGTCACGAGGAGCTGCTCGGCTTCGATGGTGTCGTGGGTGCCGTTGAGATGCTGGACGGTGAGTGTGACGCCGGAGTCGGAGCGTTTGGCCTCGACGACCTTGGTCTGGTAATGCACGTTGGGAAGCACTGCGGCCGCTGCCCGGTACAACTCGTACATCCCCTTCTCCGGTGTGATGTACCCGCCGAGGACGGCGGATATATGCGGTACACCGAAGTTCTGGAAGGTGTAGAGGGCTGGCATGTCGAGCATGTTCCCGACCCCGTGAGCCCAGAAGAACAACATCGGTATCACGTCCTCGAGGGAGTTCTCTTCGATGAAGTCTCGCAACGGGCGGAAGATGGCTTCGGGGACTGGATCCGGGAAATCGTAGAGACCCTTATCAAGGAAGGGAAATTGCCGCAGTGCCAATCGATATCGGACGAGCGCAAGCAGGGACTGGACGAGGCCGACGGGCGACTCCGCCATTCGACCGGTAGTGAAGTCCACAAAGTCCTCTCCTTTGAAGCTGGGAAGGACACGGTGCCATTTGACCCCCAGGCGGGAGAAGAACTTCCTGCTGAGTTTGTCATCGAAGACACCCTGGACGCCGTAGTCGACGTGGCTACCGTTAGGGAGGTAGTAGGTTTCCGTGTGGCCACCGAGCTGGTTGTTCTGCTCGATCACCACCACCCGCTTTCCGCGATCCTGAAGGCGAATGGCGGCGTATGTGCCGGTTGCTCCGCCCCCCAGGATGCAGACATCGTATGGTTTCGTGTGTGCCTTGGTAGTATTGATGCGAGATGGAAGACCTGTCGCCAGCGGCAATAAGAAAAGTATGAGACTATAGCATAGCGAGATTGAACAGATCATTGGGCCGATTTATCAATGACAATTGAATAAGTATGGTTCTTGCGGCTTGAAGAGCTCCGCCTGCGCATAGCGCATATTGCAAAGGTCTGTTGCTCGGGAACGCCGGGTAACACCTTTATAAGAGGCAGTTAGATGTGTGAAAATAGGGAAGTAAGAGGAAGAAGGCAATAAAGAACAACCTGAACGCCACAATCATGGACATACACCGCCTATCAGACAACTTATGACACAATCATCTCGACTTCTCCACTACTCCCACCAATTCCCCGAATAAGCCCTGGATTGCTTCCTTCTCTCCTGCCCAGAAACCTCCCTCTCCTCCCAACCCCAGATCCTCCCCCATCGCGGCGCGTGCCATGATCTCCTTCTCGGGAAAGGTTAATCCAACCGTGCTCTCCAGGGGCACCATTCTCAATCCCTGCAGCACCTGCTGCAACTGCGCCGCGGCTTTGCCGCCCCCATGACCGCCATAACTGACAACCATCGCCGGCTTTCCCTTCCATTCATTGAAGAGATAGTCGATCGCATTCTTGAGACTCGCAGGGTATCCCCAGTTGTACTGGGGGGTGACGAAGATGAATGAATCGTAGCGCGAAATCTCCCGCGACCAGGCCTTGGTGTGCTCGTGAACGTAACCCTCAGCTGACGTGATACGCGACGGGATCCCCGGCTCATTATATAGTGGTAGGTCCCATTCTGCGAGGTCAATGACTGTGATGCTTGCTTGCGGATGTGCTTCCTTGATGGTCTCGTGGATGAAGGTGCTGATTTGAAGCCCGGCACGGGGTGAACGTGTGCTGCATACGATAAGGCCGGTTGTTGGCATGGTTGCTTCTGGTTTTTTTAGGATTTGTCGGGAGGGGTGGAATTGAAGGCGATGCTTCGTGGAGGGTACACAGAAGTCCTCGGTGTGACTTTGATCGTATGTATGCTACACTTCATCCAGGCTTAAGATTTCATGATTTATATACCATTATCGCCTTCTAGAGAATTCAGAAGGTTACTTCCGTATTGGGAAGTAGAGACCGCGGGGCCGCGGAGGTGGTCTGGCCGAAAGGCCGACGGCTGATCAGTTTAGACTGGGTCCGTGCTCACCACAGCTCGCAGGGGTGTCCATTCCTCTCCCAACTCTCCCGCTTCCACCAGCTCCCAGTCTCGCCATGGCTTTCACCATTTAATCCTCAAACTGAAGAGCCCTCCTTTTCCCGGCTTATGGACAGATTAATCTGGCGGTACATATCCTTGGGAAACCTGACATGATCGCATGATATACAGTGACTGACTCGGCTCGTTATAGGTGATACAGACATCACCAGAGGAGCTGTACTCTCTGAGCTACTGTCCTGGTCCTAGTCACACGGAAGACGATAGTACCATCGGTTTTCCGGTTTCCAGAACTTCCAGTGGCATGAAATGTATGGTTACACGCCCTCGTCCTTTTCAGTCGGATATACCCCAACGACCCTGTGACGAACACCTTTGCCGAACAACGGGTTTGAACTGCACCACGATTCCAAGTCTGTATGGGGTACGACCATTATCAAGGACCAAGCCGGCGGTCGACCTCACACGGCGAGCAAAGGGCCGTCAATGGGCAACAAAAAGAACCGATTGAGCCGAACGCGGGGGTTGAACCCGCAACCTTGAGATTAAGAGTCTCACGCTCTGCCGATTGAGCTAGCCCGGCTTCCTTGAGTGCTCGATTGAAAAGTATGACGCTAAGAGCGTGCGCTAAAGCTATCCGGGTCTAGCGGTGCGCTTGTTCACTACCTTGATCACGTGGAGTGTGCTTGCCTCGATGTCCTCTTCGTAGATACATTCTCTGGATACAAAGGGTACTCTGTTCTTGTAGAGTGGCCTGGGCTTGCGGATACGTGGGTATGACAGTGTAAAGGGTTGATTCCCATGGGTTTTGCTGCGCAATTGCGCTGTCTTGCCGCGATATATAATACTCGGGTACATTGCGCGATATATCAGGACAGGTAAGCATGCTACTCCATAGATCACCTAGAATGACAGTGACAACGTGTGGTATCGAGGCAATAGATCATCTACATTGTATGTCATACCAGTAAGAAAGTCGAGCTAAGAATATGTACATATATGAATGTCTGATCATACTCCATGCCTGGGTCCACTCTTTGTATTGAAATAAGTACCCATTTGCTCAAGCATCAGCCACAGAGTGCTTCATCAATAGCCCAATGCATGCACCGCATGTACGTGATAACCATGACTCTTCGCCACCAAATCATCCCAGTTCTCGACCGTGTCCTTCATAACATCCGTGCCTGTAGAGAGGTCAGAACAATCGAGCTCTAGCCCGGAATGAAAATGATACATACCCCACATAAAGTCCTGCCAGCTGGGATCAGCCCAAAGATCGGGGTTCTTGCCCGAGCCCCGGATGGCCTCGTCTCGCTTGACCTGCTCCTCCCCATCAGGTAGGTGCAGCGCCTTCCTCGTCACTGCGGCGCTCTTCTGGATGCGCTCGGCACGGTCCTTGCGTACCAGCTCATAGACCGCCAATGCCTTGGGAACCGAATCGGTCATGGACAGAGCGCACGTAAGCACACCAGCATCCTCGATTGCCTGCGCAGCACCCTGGGCCACATAGGGCAACATCGGGTGACACGCATCGCCCATCAAAACGCATTTGTTTTCCACCCACGAGGGGAGGGGGAAGTGCGAGTTCAGAGTCCACTCCATGACCTCGCCGTCCGGAACATAACTCAAGAGACTTCGGACCAAATCATTCCACTTGCTGTAGAAGGAGATCATCTCCTGCTTGTCGCCTTTACTGGTCCAACTCTCTTCGTTGGAGGCCCCCGGCTTCTGCGGGTGAAGCAGTACCATGTTATACACGGTGTTGTTCTTGATAGGGTACGCCATAATGTGTCCTCCAGGTCCCATCCAGCGCATTCCAACGTTGTGGTTCAGAAGCTCCAGAGCGCGCTTGTCGCCCTGCAGCTTGTCTTTCGGGATCATAATGCGGTAAGCCGCATCGCCGGTAGGTTGGCAGATGTCTTTAACTCCATGGTGGGATGCGATCTGATGGCGCAGATCGGACTTTATCCCGTCCGCGGCAATCACCACATCTCCAGAGATCCACTCGCCCGATTCGAGCTGAACGGTAGCTTCGAAGTCGTCAACCGCTCGGACAACCCGGGAGCTGGTGCGCAACTCGATGTTCGCATCCCGAACCCCGTCGAGAAGAATGCGCTGGAGATCCCCACGATGGATCACTGCCAGTGGCGCGTGGTATTTTTGACCGACCTACGATGCGGTTAGCAGGACGGCTAACCCTTGTCATATCAGATGTAGGTGATTATACCTGAGGCATCAAAGGTGCGGTTCCCAGTTCCTCATTGTTCGCGTATCGGCGCAGGGAGTTCTTCTCCAGCACATTCGCCTTGTCCATGACTCTGTCGAGAAGACCAAGCCGTCCCAGTATCCGCGCAGCATTCGGAGCGACTTGAATGCCTGCACCCACCTCTGCGATCTCATGGACTCGTTCCAGGATAAGGACTTCATGTCCAGCCTTCTTCAAACCCAAGGCTACCGTTAACCCGGCGATGCCAGCACCCACCACAATCACCTTCAGGGGGTGTTTGGCCTTGAAAGACCAGGAAAAGTTGTCTTGAAAACTGTTCATTGTGGTGGTACTTGTTGGCTGATTCTGTTCAATGGAACCTTTAATTTCCGAGCATATTCGTCGGCGGTTTTATAGGCCACGCGCGGTGCTTGTATCTCGCGATGCCATTGATGACGACATGAATTTGAATGGGCTTGAGTCCATTGTGGGGCAGCATCGACGAGCTATATTAAGCATGACGCGGGGTCTATGGGCACGGTTCTTCATCACGGTAAAGATATCCATGGAAATCCAAGAACAAGTGAGGACCACCTGGCTCATAGACTGCTGAAAACGGCGGCAGCGAGTGGGGCCGCGAAGAGCCGGGACTGAGCTCGGCAGCTTCGCCGGGTTTCAACATCGGGCCGGGCTTGATCAAGTGTCCCATAGGTCGCAACGGTCTGGCATGAGTCTGTCAGTATCAAATGGCAGCATAGAAAAGCGAGTATATCACATACATTATCTGATTATGCTTACCGCTTGGGTATGCCGAGGTGGTGTTGCCACCTTAGTCCATTCATTCAAATGACCGTCGGATTCTTCCGCATCTACGGAGACAGGAGCCCCCTAATAAGTGCTGAACATTAGTCCACAAGTCCATGCTAAACCGGCATTGTGAGAAACAATCTGTCAGAACAAGCCTCGAAGCTTTGAATAGTATGCCATAGCACAGGGCGCCCAGCTCGGCGAGGTCCAAACCCTCTTACCGCCATGGGCAGAATTTTGGGCCACGGTGAGCTGGCCCCGCCATAGCACAGATGAGCAAGGATGAGTCGAGCATGAGTCATGTGTCAGCCACGCCACCGCCCCTGTGCTTAGCGTCTCTTATCGGCCGGATAAGATCAGATCCCCACCGAACATATCGAGATAAATACTTACCACAATGCCGGAAATGTTACCATGTCAACAAACCACAGTCTCACAGAGAATTCGAGTGCACAAGGACAAGGACAACAAGCATCATCTGCCGAGCATCTCCCTCGCTTGAGAAGTCCTCAAACTATCCAATCAATGCTCGCTGGCACCGTCACTACCTCCTCCCAAACCAACCACCTATCCACCATGGGATTCGATAATCTATACACCCCACCAGTAGGGATGCACGCCATTCCCCACCACCTCCTAGATCTCCGCGACGACTCCCAGATCGACCACGACATCATCCATGCAAAGCCCGTGAGCGATGAGAAGAACATCTGGTTCTTCTGGACGAGCGGATACACGAACATGCATCCATACACCCAGCGCAACGTGCGGGCATGGCACCGTCGCTTTTCCAAGCTCGGCTGGACGATTCGCGTTCTCGACTGCGAGAACGTGCGCGAGTACCTCGACGTCACCGACCCGACCCTCTTCCCGCGCGCCTTCGCCGACGGCACCATCAGCGGCACCTACGCGCCGCAGCACACGTCGGACCTCGTTCGCTTCCCGCTCCTCCTGCGGTATGGCGGGGTCTACGCTGACGTGGGGTTTATTCAGATCGGCGATCTGGACCGGCTCTGGAACGAGACGATTGCGAGCCCTGCGTCGCGGTTCGAGGTCCTCTCCTATTTCATGGGCCCTTCCGACCAACGTGGCTTGACCAACTACTTCCTCGCGGCCAGGAAAGACAACCCGCTCTTCCTGCGGTGTCATAAGCTGTTGCTGAAGTTGTGGGAAGGGAAAACGTCCACGGACGGCATGCATGCGAGTCCATTGCTGAAAGGGGTACCGTTGATGGGGGGTTCGTTCAAGATCGAGGAGGAGGGCAGCAAAATCATCGACGAGGAGGAGACCAGCAAGCTGCTGACGGATTACATCATCCAGGGCCAGGTGGTGTCGATGGTCATGGGGCTTGTGGACGAGGAGGACGGCTGGAACGGGCCGGAATATATCCGCGATCACCTCTACGGGATCGACTTCATGGAGGGGTCCCAGCTGATCAACGTCTTCACCGACTGGGACGGGCGCAAGGCCTTCGAGTTGATGTCGCTCCCGCTGCCGAAGGCAGGCGAGGCGGAGACGCCGGAGCAGAAGCAGGCGCGCGAGGTCGTGGAGGGCTGTCTCACGCGGAGTTTCGGGTTCAAGCTCGCCCACGGACTGATCTTGCGGGTGTTCAAGGAGACGCTGGGCTCGCTGTGGAGAAAGCACGAGGGCTCCGATATCGTTCCCGGAACGTACGCGCATATGCTGCGCCATGCGATCGTGTACTGGAACCAGGATGCGCTTCCGCCGACGCTCGAGTTCACGAATCCGGAGCCGATTAAGAGAGGTCCGCTGTTGAGGGATGAGTGAGTAGTTGGGGTAGTTCGGGATTAAATTATGTTTGTTTTTTTTCGCCTTGGAAAGAATACTGGATAGAGCTATAGAGATAATTGACATGGTGATTTGGTAGCAATACGAACAATCGTCTCGAAGTGTAAGGTTGTGCATTTGAAATATCAAGTATGCCGTAGCTGCTTCCATCTCAGCTTCAGAAGTGATAGGAGGTAGGTATGGGGATCTTCCAGCTCATATGGCTGCAAAGTTTTCACAATACGACGTAGCACTGTCGAGTTGTTTAGGACGGTCAAATTGACTAAACAAACATATCCTGCATCAGGCCAGCCATAGCAGATCTAGAACAATTGAGAAACGATAAATCTCGATGGAAAGAGTGATCAGTCGGTAGTTGTCAAGCTTTGCGAGGTTCTGAGGTAGCCTCTCCGCAAGAACAAACAACATGATATCGGAGTAATGCCTTCAATTCTTGGAGACGAATTTGATCTAGGAGTCAATGGTAGACGATGATTCCAATGAGCCCACAGGCGGGGCCGGGCTTTAGGCTGACAGACTGATGTGGTGTGGAAGAAGAATGAATTGAGGCTATCATCCAGGACGGAAGCTATCTACAACACGCAGCCATGGTACACCTAGCCCCGTGGTCAGTCAGCGACAACAAATTTTATAAAGGGGCCCATTGGCAAATCGCTTAGAATTTTATCCTCAACGCCCAGCCACCCGCCACCCCTCTAGCAACCACAAACGCCGCACACGCCGCCAGATACAGCACGCCCCCGAAGATGATCAATCCCCAAAAGCTCCCGCCGTTGCTCTCCTGGATCGCCCCGGCAATCGGGATGGCGGTGAGGGTCCCAAAGCTGACGAGGGTGAACGTCGTTCCATTCCTCTTTCCAATGTCCTCGGTCCGGCAGACCTGCGCGATACACACCGGGGTTAGGCTGATGGCGGCCCCGCTCCAGAACCCAAACAAGACCGAATACGCGATGATCGCGGCCTCGCTGGTGCCGGCTTTATACCAGAGAGATAATGTGATGATGCCGCAGACCAGCGCCGTCAAGGCCATGACGTTGAACCGGCCTATCCGGTCGGCCAGCAACCCGGGAAAGGCACGGCCGGGGATGGCGCCCACGTTGAGGAATACGCAGAGCTTGTAGGCCATGGATTCGCCGAGGTTAGCGGAGAGGCCGTAGGAGCACAGATAGGTGTACGGGACGAACACCGCAAACTCTACCAGCCATACGGCCAGGGTCGTGAGCGCGTAGTTGGGTTCGCGGAGGGCGTGGATGTCGATGCCCATGTGGCGACTCGGATCGGGCTTGAGGCGGGTCTTGAGGAGAAGGCATGCTAGCCCGCACAGCACGAAGCAGATGATCCCGATGATGCGTAGCGCCCACGCGAAACCCAGATGTGGCGCGACATAGAGGATGATCAGTGGGAAGAAAACGCCGCCTAGGCCGCCAGCTGTGCATGCGATGCCAGTGGCGAGACCCCGACGGACATTGAACCAATGGCCGATGGCAGAAATCGCAGGCGTAAAGAGCAAGCAGGACGACAGTCCGCCGAGGACGCTGAATGAGAGCATGATCTGGTAGTATTCTGATGATAGGTTAGCCTGCTGCACATATCAGACGTTGGTTCTGTTCATGTTGCTAACCTGTGCTGGCACTGAAGCAGAAGACTGCTACTATGAGGCCAATGGACCCTGGAATGACCACTGGCAGTGGTCCACGACTATCGAAGATGGGGCCTTTGACGGACAAGATCAGTTTTGTTCCGGCTACAGGGGCATGCAAAGCGAAACGTACCCACTTGGGCGCCCGCAAAGTAAAGAAAGAAGCTAAAAACCCCAAAAATCCAGCCGACGCTGGATTCAGAGTAATTCGACAGCTGGTGGGTGGATGTCCAGGCGTGCAGGACGGAGATGGTGTTTAATAAGCCCATAGAAGGCACCATTGCACACCACGACCCTAGTACCACCAGCCAGGCACGAAGCCCCCCTTCCGGGTAGGTCTCATCAGAAGCGTTGTAGGGTCCTTGCGGACATACGGATTGAGATGGGCCCTTCTCCAAAGCAACCTCTCCATCCTGATCTGAGCTGTGAGACATTTCGGCCTGGAAATCAAGCAAGCTCAATAGGACGGTGCTCTGTGTCTACTCAAGCCACAAAGCGTATGCACCACTCAAGCTTTCATCGACCCCAAAGTCGGAGGAAGACACCATCCTCATGACTACCATTGAGCCCTTGGCAATGGAAAAATTTGGCTTATCGCAAGGTGGAGCAGACGAGATAGTGTAGTTACCGGGCCGCAGGTGATTGGCTGCACCCCCTGGCTCCGGTGGGCACGTTTCCGCCCATGAATCCATCGCGCCACACCCGCCCGGCTTGTTGGAATTAGGAACAATAGACTCAGTCATAAACAGGTTCATACGAACCTTCCTGCCTGATCCACTGGTAATGTGGCTAGAGACGGCTGGCCTTCTTCCCAAGAATAGAGGGAATCGTCTCCCATATCAATTCCGACCGCCTAAACATGGGAATCACGGTTTTTGATACACGACACTCATTTGTGAGTGGAACTTCATATCACGTACTAGAAGGGATCGACCTGGAATATGTATTGTGAGCTGTGTACTTCCAGCGTCTAGAAGACCCACAAGTCGCCATGATAGCTCTAGGGGAGCGATATTGATGCCAGATAAGATTCGTATCGTTAGATAACTGCTTATGTGCAGGACTAATACGTCAATGCTATCATATAGTCGCATCAATTGTAATTCAAGGTCTGTATTTTAGCCGACAGAGAGCAGAAATGTGCTAAGCTCAATCTTGGCACTTTTTGAGCACGCCAGAGAGTCAATGTAACTTTTCAGCGCTAAGATGTGAGATCAGCTCAGCCTCGGAATGTTGTCAACACCATCCTGAGCCATTACCTACCTGGCAACTTCACTTTTATCCTTACCCAAGTTTACCGGATTTGGTAAATCCTGCGGCTTAGTGATGAAGATCATAAGCGATATTCCAAGATGAAGATATTGTTATTTGCCTCAATTTCCACGCTCATGAACATGCTGATGATCCATCATTTGATCAAGCAAAGCGTGGTTAAGGTTTTAGTGAAGATTACCTTGTGACGGCGGCCCTGGGCCTTGGTTGCCTGAGGTTGCTCGCTCACCGCCCACCTCGGTGGCCTTAGCTAGTTCTCGCAATTAGCCTGACGTAGTCAGAATCCAAACATCTTCCACCTCTCGGAGGCGTCATCACCTTGTGCAGCGGCGATCCTTGCGGAAAGAGGTCATAGATCTTCGATCGAATGCCAGAGAATGTACAGATAAGTCTTCATGCAGGGCAGTCATGCACACTAGCATTCCTAGTAGATCCAGGACCCCTGCATCTCGAATTTGACTCGGGTCTCAAGTGTCTGTTCGGCAAGTTGGAAAATCATCTGGATCAAGGGGCCATAGGATCGTGATCCATGAGTGGAGAGTGGATTAGGACACCACTAAACTGCTCAGCTTGGTAGGCTCAAGACCCAAGATACACTGTATAATACAAGCACATCGGCTGAGGAATGATCCTCACCTGCGCAGTGCGTTCAATCAAAAGCCTCACTGTAAAAGGTCGAACGCAGTATTCCCTCCAAGAGAGGATGGCTTAACTCTAAATTAGCCACCACACGCGATCATAGGGCTTTCTAAAAGGTATTTTTCCGTCATCGAAAGTCTATCCTTATCTAGAAGATATGAGTGAGAAATTGCTTCTTTGCTGTAATGCGACGAGAAAGTAGTCCTCGATCGGCTTAATGCATTCTGCAGGGCGTACCTTGAGGCCATCTGTGACGGGAGACAAGTTAGCTCTAGTCAAAAAAGCGTCCAGGAATGCATCCCAGATGATAGACCAACTATCAAAGGCACTTAAACATTGACACGTGAGAGTTTCTGTGGAGATCCGAGGAACTCTCCTTATGTTCGCGCAGACTGCTTGTGTCAGTAATTGTGCAGCTGGCAATGGAAATTGGTCCCGAGGCATGCAGGCGGAGAGAAACCCACCTTCTGAGATGAGGAAGTTGCTGACTGAATGAGGTAATCAAATTCTTTTTTAGAGGTGATGGACACTGACCTCTACCCCTTCTTGATTAACCCACATGTCAACAACGCCAACTTCTGCAGCTCATTGCCATTAGACTCTAGCGCTGAACTTTGAAGTCTTGCACGGAGCTGTGTCTTCACCAAACCTCGAAAGGTGTATAAAAGTGCGGCCTGCGCCGGGTGAAGCCAAGTTTTGATGGTGACACCTTGATAAATTGCATGTTAACTTCCATTGTCTATTGTTCTATATTGTCATTTCCTGGGAGAAAATCACTCTTACTCTTTCAGGCACGATAGAAAGCCAGATCAAAGTCAGACCAAGCATGATGTGGGGTGCTCAGGCCAGCAACGAATCCACTTCCAGTTAGCCATGTTGTTCCCTCTCCTTTTATACCACCTCCGCTGACCAATTAGACTCTTTTATTTGCAAGAGCTGCGTTCCATCGCCCGCACCTGATGAGGTTCTAGTCGAACTAAAGTATTCGGGTCTGTGCCATTCCGATATTCATGCATGGAAAGGTGACTCTTTCAGCCTTATTCGTCGTGATGCGATCTGACTCAGAAACAGGCACGCCCTCCACCATCAAAAGAGAAAAGCGCGTCGGTACGTTCTCTAACTTCTCTAACCAACTCACCTAAATCCTGCTAACAAGAGGCAAGAGGGACATGAGGGCACAGGTATCGTGATGGCTATTGGAAGTGAAGTAGAAGACATCAAAGTTGGAGATCATGTGGGCGTGCAGGTATATTCCGTTCCCAGGCTTTCGCAACTGCTGAAAGCTGACAGAGCAATAGTGGGTGAACAAAACTTGTGGTGTCTGTGAGGCCGACAAGCGGGCCGACTTTCTGGCTTGTTTTCAAGCCCAAATGACGGGCTTCTCTGTTGACGGGACCTTTGGCACTTGCTGCGTCATTCAAGCCCGTCATGCTGTCCGCATCCCTAAGGAGTATCCCCTCGACACCGTGGCACCTATAATCTGCGCCGGAACCACATGCTTCAGAGCTGTGGAAGAAACCGGGGTAGCAGAAGGCGACATTTTAGGTAAGTGCGACAACGTACCAAAAGTACGTACCTGGTTTGTAGTTACTGACTGGTACAAGCTGTTGTTGGACCCGCAAGTGGCATCGGATCACTGGTATGCCAGTACGCTAAAGCCCATGGTTGTCGGGTACTTGCAATCTCCACTGGAGGTGAGGGTCAGATTCTGAACAAGGACAATCTCCGGGTTGATTTCTATGTGGACTACCATACATCCCAAGACATTGTGACGGAAGTCCGAAAGCTAACCGTTGGTGGTCCTGACGCGGCCATCATGATCGAGGGCACTGAAGCACTTCTAGAGGATACCACTCAGTATGTTCGGCCTCGAGGGTCTATTGTTGTTGTGGGCAAGCCCCCAGGAAAAACAGGAGGTTTGGACATGTCTAATCTGCTGCTGCGAATGGGTCAAATCAAGTCGTCTCCCTACGGCGGTTCGAGAGAGCAGATTGAAAAGGCTATCGACATATTCGTTAAGAATAAGTTCTATCAGCCTTCTCATGTTATACCGCTTGATAAACTACCCCAGATGCTTCAAGCCGTACACCAGGAATACCCCGAGAATCATTCTCATAGGCCAAGCTCACGATACGAAAGTAGCTTGCTGGGGCAGGCAACAGTCAAGATCCCCTCGTTCAGTGAGAACACTCGACCCGAGGAGACTTTCCCAAAGCCTACATTCTATCAAGAGAGCTTCAATATCAGCACTTACATTGCGTATCGTTTGGAGGAGCTCGGAATTCGCGACTTCCTAGCTGTGCCTGGTGAGAGCCTTGCTCTAGTTAGTGATTTTGCTCTACTAAATTTTTGAAGGGGACACAAACCTTGTACTTCTGGATAGGCTGCTCAAGAATCCCAATCTCCGAATGATTGGGTGCTGTAACGAGCTCAATGCAGGTTACGCAGCAGATGGCTACGCCAGAACTTCGCCCGCGAACATCGCCGTTCTTATCGTACCATATGTGGTAGGGGCTCTTTCAGCCCTAAATGCAGTGGCAGGCGCTTGCTCTCAAAATATCAAGATCATCGTCCTCTCTGGTTGCCCAACAACAGGTATGCTAGCTAGTCGGAAGTTCTTGCATCATGCACCTAGCGCAACGAACAGAGAAAAAGCTCTCGATGCCTATCAGGGCGTCACTGCCGCCTCTATTCGTCTTCAATCAGCAGAAACAGCTGTTCAAGCCTTGGATGACGCTATAAGCAAGTGTCTCGCGTCCTCTCTTCCCATTTTTATTGAAGTTCCCAATGATATTGCAGGAGCTGCATGCTCCCCTCCTTCCCCGTTCAAAATATCTAAGACAATAACCCAAACTCGCAGAAATGAGGAAGCCGTCAATGCTATCACTGGGGCTTGGAATAAATCGGAGAAGCCTGTCCTCCTCTTTGGGAGCCTTGCGCGTCGTCTGCTTTCCGCGCATGACATTGAAGCCCTAGCTGATAGACTCGGCTGTGCCGTATTTTGCCAGCCCGATGGCCGCTGCATATCTGAATCGCACCCGCAGTATTGTGGCCAATTATGGAATGGTCTCACAAATCCGGAAGGAGAAAAGGTTTTCATGGACTCTGATCTCTGGCTCGTTGTCGGTGCAAATTGGTGCGACTTTCATGGTATCTTCACCAGCATTGACGAAGAAAAGAGCCACATGATCAGCATCGGCAAAGATTGGGTCGAATTGCCCGATGAAACATGCTTTCAAGGCATAGGCTTTGCCGCGGTGGTTAGACAACTTACCCGATCATCGATGGAACCCAAGCACAAGTCAGTTCCACGGCCAAAGCCGACCCTGGGGGCAAAGCCTCCACAAACGGAAGACCTTGAGGCTCCTTTAACACTGGAGCATGCTATGTATGGCATTCAAAACATTCTGCGAAGTGATGACACAATGCTTTGTGACGCAGGAGAGGCTTGGTTTCTCGCTAATCATATACGGCTTCCTCCCGGCACAGACTGCCAAATCCAAATGCCGTATTGCTCCATTGGTTGGGCACTACCAGCTGGACTTGGCGCTCAGCTTGCCCGCTCGCGGGGCCGTTCGATCATTCTGATCGGCGATGGTGGGTTTCAAATGACCGCACAGGAGGTCAGCACCATTGTTCGTCAGCATTTGAATCCGATCATCATCATTTTCAACAATCTTGGCTACAAGATCGAGGTATGTAGCGCCGTCAGATGTTTCCTCGCATTCACTGATCAAACCTCCTTAGACGACCGTCCACGATGGGCCGTATAACTACATCGCCAACTGGAACTATTCTCAGCTGGCCGCTTCTCTCTCCGCAAGCCCTCATGCATCCTCTCATAACCCTTATGCGACCAAGAAGCAGGAGTATATGGAAAGTAATCCGTCGTTGTTCACCCTGCAAGTCAGGACGCAGAGAGATCTCAAAGTGGCCCTCAAGAGAGCATATGACGAGCACGATAAGCTTGCCTTTCTCGAGCTGTGCATTCAACCGGATGATTTGAGCCAGGAGGTACGTCGGCTTGGCAAAGCATTTGCGCAGAAGAATGCCGAATAATCCTCTGGGTCGCCTGAAAGTTCTACTTCTAAGACGCCCAGCGCAACGACAAGCGGTTCCAGCAATCCAAGAGTCAATAGTCCTGTCAACACGTCAGTAAAAACATCTGTGACCAGTCCTTGCACTTCAGCAACAAGCGAAGATGAACCTGTGCAGAAAGGGAACGACGACGCCGGATCTCTGGATGAGCTTACTGCTTCTTCTCAAAGTCAAAATGACTCGCGACCCTAAGATATTTTTTGCGGGAACTGCGTACTTCGTTACTCCTTTCTCGTGGATTTGTCACACAGAACGTGAGATTTGAACACCCGTGGATGCGTTGCCGTATGCTTCGGTCTTTCAGCGATGGATGTCGGATATTTTCTATGGTAAGAAGCAGAGGGAGTGGACTGAGGTGGTGTTGGAGGGGGACTCGGAGAAACAAGTTGTCTTCTTGTCTTCCAAGATTTGGTTGATTTGTTCTATGGTTGTCTTGTATCGACGCAGTGTCGCTGTTCAGTGAGATTCCGAATCATAAATGTGTAGATCTTGCTTCGTGTCATGTTCAGGTCGCAGCCAAGGTAGCTCTCTCACTTATTTGTCTCCGTACGATCCAGCATATCTCAATGGCTCGAAGTCTGCAAAACTGCCGTTTATAGTTCCACTCGTAAGATGATCGGTTCTCCATTCCTTGTCGTTTCTCTAGTCATACTTGGAGAAAGGAATCAACACGGTTCTTGAATTCCTACTAATCAGTGAATTGGCCCGTGGGCGGCTTGTAGATAGTAAAATGTCTTGGTTTAGCAAAGCTGGATTTGAATAGATGCCAGTCAGATGAAGGTGTGGATCCCATGTCAAGTCAGGTATATTCACAGAACACCGGGAACTGGGGGGAAGTGTTCGTAGTTCCTTACACGCGTCTTTCATCTTTCTCGCTCGACTCTTCAACAACCGGTAACACCTCAAGTCTCTCTCCATCTCCATCAACGTCCTTGTAAAGCCTCTTCATCAACCTCTCTACATACCGTCAGCATAGTGTACCATCGTGTTGGAAAGTGAAGCTCGCTAAAAAAAATTCTCGTTCTTTTCCCTTTTTCCCTGGTAGCGGGAATTACTTCATGAGACAATTCTTCTTACGTTGAGGTTTCCTACCCCTTTTGGTTCTTCAGGATGCCTCTGCCACTACCCGGTGATGATGGTCAAGTGCAATTCATGTTCACGGTAGCTAGGCTCACGCCTGGCAGCAGCCAGCCACGCCGCCCAGAGACTGATGAAGAGGAGATGCTCAAATGTATGCAGCTGTACAAACTTGGGGTGCCTCTTTATACCCGTGAGGCGATTCTGAACGCGTACGGTCAGCTGAAGGTCAGCAAACGAGGCGATGCCATCAAGGTCATGGCCATAGACGGCACTAGTGTCGACTTTATCATCAATACTGGCAGAGTCTGGGTTGGTGCCGATGGATATGAGCGTGAGCTGTGCGTATACTTCCCCAAATTTCTTCAATCGCACGAGAGAAGAGACACACACACTAACGTTTTGGGTGGCCGTCGTATGCTAGTGGGAAACCTCGTCTGTGTTTCATGCCCATTCAAAGGCTGGAAAGCGGGGTCATACCCAATCAAGTGTACACCATCCCCTGCAGTATTCGTGTCGCCCACCGAGTCATCACACGCGACCCGATCACCAAGGAGAGATTCGAATATGGGGTTACCGCGTTCGAGAAGGTCCGGTTGAACCTCTTCACCACTCTCCACTTCTGGCGGAATAGCCCCTACTACCAGCTGCTCCGGCACCTGCTGGACGAGTACCCCAAGATGCCCCGGATCACCAAGATCATCGGGTTCGACTGCGGCAGTATGTCCCGCGACATGCAAGGCCAGCCGTCCAACAACTCCCGTGCTCGCTACCAGCATGCATTTCTCATCGCGCTGAAGGAGTACCTTGACGCCCGCAACTTCGAGACCACTGGGCAGGAGGTCCGCGTGTACGTGCAGAATGAGACGTACCTTGAGCGGGATATTGAGGTCATCCGGCAGTTCGGGGTACAAATGCTACAAGATCCGGAGGGGTTCCTCGTTATCGATGAGGAGACCGTGGTTTTCGCATGTCGACCCGAGTGCCCGGTGAGACAGATTGTGGCAGACCTGGCGATGCCGGCAATGATGATCTGGGATCATGAGAGAGATTCAACCAGGGTCAACGGGGTGCCTGTACAGCGCATGTAAGTTCTCTGCCAGAGTCGGCTGGTGCTCGATTCCAGATAAGAAAGTATCATAACCGGTTTGTCGCAGTTTTGACCCCTGGTCCACTCGCCTAGACAGTATGATGAGGTTCTACCATGTGCAGGACTTTCTCAACGATGAGATCAATTTCGATAAGATGGATGTGTGTATTCGTCGCCCTATGGCAGATGTGTACCACGGCTTGAATGATCCAGGACCTGGCGGCGATGCGAATATTGCCCAGCCAGTCGCGTAGTCCGGAGGTGGTGGTGATGGTGGCTGGTCTCTGATGTTGGTATATCTTGGCGATATGTGCAGCGGGTGTCTTTAATGATGTTCTTAGGGCAAGAGCGGGGATAGTGAAAGAGGATGAACATAGGTATGAACCATGAAGATTGTGTTTCTAATATTGTTCGTTGCTGGATGGAACAGACATGATTGGAGAAGTTGAGCTTGGCTCTTCGGAGGACGACAGTTCATCGATGATAATGTGGGTGGCGGGAGCTACTGTCCTGGAGCTCGGAGAAAGTCTTGCCGACTGATTAGTGAGCGCAAGAGTCTAGCCCGAGCCCAGATCTTTGTCAGATAGGTCATGGTTGTGACTGGTTATAACCAATATCAATAACCGAGTTGAGTTCTTGAATGCACACACACATCCCTAGCGGCACCGTAATCCCGGCTAGAAAACCATCTCAGCCGATCTATTGATACACCAGTGATGAGCAGCACACTTTAGGAACGAGTGTCGGCCTACCCGTAAGCAAACAGCTTGGATTTTGGGGCTGCTAGTCGCTAGATTAGGGGTATCCCATTGGAGACCTAAACTTGGGAAACGATTGAGGGCTAGAAAATATAATGCTTTGCAAGTAACTACCTAACTAAGTACTGTATGTTAACCATTGAACCAAGTCAGCCTGGAGGTTAGTACCTCCAGGCTTGTACTGTAAGTTACCTAAGGTGTAGCTAGTTCCCGTTACGGGTAAGCTTACTCGGATACCCCGCCCTGGAACACCCTCTTTCTTACCTACATAGTAACTTACGTATGTAGTACCAAGGTTATCTCCATCGCTTAATTCTGGTGTAATTCTGTGAGTACTAACGAGCAATTGTCTGGTAGCTTTCTCCATCCTATTAAATGTATATACTCCATAACACATTGTTGTTCCTGTTCAAAAGAACTTATCGCATATTCTCTGGTCGGTTGCGTCGTTCCTGCAGCGGTCGTGGAGATCATCACGTTTTTCTTAACCGGGGTTGCTGACCAGGGGAGATCCCAAAATAGCAGCGAGTGCACACTGCGTGCAGGAGTAGTGCAATAGTAGGAAGTAGTACGGAGTAGTGGTTAGGGTGTGATAGAAAGCCAGGGGAGGTGCAGATTCCCTGTAATCTCTGTAGTGGTAGTGGAAACTCGCCCTTGGCTGCTTGGCGGGAGACGCGTTCCTTCTCTTGGATGTCTCTTTCACACACGCTCTCTCTCTCTCTCGCTTTCATTGGGATCATCCAACACGAAACTCCCCACTGGGTCAGTCCACTAAACATGGTCTATGCTTCTCTAAACACATCTCACATTTGTTCACCTCTCTTCTTCACCTCGACAAGTATCACGTCAGGTTGCCTGATGCCAAGTCAGCCTGTCGCGGCTCCGACGCTCCGCCGACCATCGAGACCCTCCATCATTACCAAGCAGTGGGACGGAATATCAATGGGCAAGCCACGATCGACAACGGCTGGATCAGTCAATCCTCAACCTTGCCCAGTGCTCACATCCACCCAGCTATAATCCAACCACAAAGCAACAGCAATTGGATGATTATTTCGTCCACGTTCTTGGCTCGTAAAACTAAATCCATTCTGGGATGGGCTGCAACTGTTCCACCTGCACAAACCAATAGAATGAAGCATATTTCTCACGATCACCTGCTGCAGCAAGGCATCATCTCCAGCCAAAGACGGCAAGGGACAGTCTGCTCGGGCGATATTCCAGTTTCATGGCCCGTTTGCCCAGCTTTCTCCCAACGGCCACGGAAAGTCGCATTGGACATGTTCGTGCTATTCTCAATTTTTTTCCCGATTGCCGTGGATGCTGGCCCGGTTCTTCACTCCTTCCCCTCGCTTCGCGACTCTATATAAGCCACTCCTGCTCCCTTCCCCAACCCCCCAATTTTCGGCCTCCCCACGTCTTTCTTCTAGCGTCGTGTCGCTCTGTGTCAGATTCTTGCCGGTACTGGTGAGTCAATGTCGGCTGACCCTCTGTTTCACCCTAGACCGATGATTTGCTCACTTGGAACTTTACATAGACAAGCAGCGTGAAAAATGCGCTCAATTGGTCTTCTCGGCCTCGTTGCCGTCGCACAAGCCGCATGTCCGTATATGACTGGCGAGCTCACCCGGCGTGATGATTCCGACGCCTCTGAAGCCACTGAGGAGTTTCTCTCCCAGTACTACCTCAACGACAATAACACCTATCTCACCAGTGACGTAGGCGGTCCTATCGAAGACCAGAACAGCCTCAGCGTCGGTGAGCGTGGTCCCACTTTGCTGGAAGACTTTATCTTTCGCCAAAAGATTCAACGTTTCGACCATGAGCGAGTAAGGTTCCATGTCTACCATGGCGATCTAAGCTGACCATATAGGTTCCCGAACGTGCTGTTCATGCTCGTGGAACAGGTGCCCATGGTGTGTTTGTTTCCTACGGAGACTACTCCAATCTCACGGCTGCCTCCTTTCTTTCTGAGAAGGGGAAGGAGACACCTGTGTTTGTACGCTTTTCTACTGTCGCGGGTAGTCGCGGTAGCTCGGACTTGGCTCGTGATGTTCATGGTTTTGCAACTCGTTTCTACACCGACGAGGGCAATTTTGGTCAGTCTTCCGGTAATCTGCTCGAGACCTATACTAACGCTTCACAGACATTGTGGGAAACAACATCCCTGTATTCTTCATTCAGGATGCTATCCAATTTCCGGATCTCATTCATGCAGTCAAGCCTCGGGGTGACAATGAAATCCCTCAGGCTGCCACGGCACACGACTCCGCCTGGGATTTCTTCAGCCAGCAGCCCAGCTCATTACATACACTTTTCTGGGCGATGTCTGGCCACGGTATTCTACGATCGTTCCGATTCACTGATGGATTCGGAGTTCACACCTTCCGCCTGGTTACAGACAGCGGTGCAACTAAGCTGGTGAAGTTCCACTGGAAAACATTGCAAGGTAAGGCCAGTCTGGTCTGGGAGGAAGCCCAGCAGGTATCGGGTAAGAATCCCGATTTCCTGCGCCAGGATCTCTACGAGGCCATCGAGGCAGGCCGTTACCCCGAGTGGGAGGTACGTTTTTTACCTTTTCTTTCGAGGCGACGCACTGCTGACCCACATAGCTCGGCGTACAAATTATGGATGAAGCCGACCAGCTGCGTTTTGGCTTTGATCTTCTTGACCCGACCAAGATCGTTCCAGAGGAATATGTTCCTATCACAAAGCTGGGCAAAATGACCCTCAACCGCAATCCTCGCAATTACTTTGCGGAGACCGAGCAGGTTATGGTGTGTGCTCCCTATCCCGATGTGTAAACCAGCATGCTAAAGGTTCCAGTTCCAACCCGGTCACATCGTCCGTGGTGTCGACTTCACCGAGGATCCTCTTCTCCAGGGGCGTCTCTTCTCCTACCTTGACACCCAGCTGAATCGGCACGGCGGGCCCAACTTTGAGCAACTGCCCATCAACCAGCCTCGTGTGCCTGTCCACAACAATAACCGTGACGGTGCCGGTACGTCTTTTTCCTCATCTATGCTACCCTCATAGCTAAACCTGGCAGGCCAAATGTTCATCCCCCTCAATCCCAACGCCTACAGCCCGAACACCCTCAACAGCGGGTCTCCGAAGCAAGCCAACCAGACTGTTGGCAATGGCTTTTTTACAGCCCCCCGGCGTGTTGCCAATGGAAACTACCTTCGCAGCACCTCTCCTACATTCTCTGATGTTTGGTCTCAGCCCCGACTCTTTTACAACTCCCTCTCGCCCGCAGAGCAGCAATTTGTGATTGACGCAATCCGCTTCGAGAACGCCAACGTACAAAGCTCTGTCGTTCGGGAGAATGTTGTCCTCCAGCTTAATCGCATCTCCAACGATATCGCCCGTCGTGTGGCCCGCGCCATTGGCGTGAGTCCTCCTGCTCCTGACCCAACTTACTACCACACCAACACTACGGCTGGGGTCGGCAGCTTCGGCACCCCGCTGAAAAAGCTGGACGGCCTCAAAGTCGGCTACCTCGCTTCCGTTCAGAGCCCTTCTTCTATAGCCGGTGCCAAAACTCTCACCGACTCTCTGGCCAAGAAGAACGTTGACGTGGTTGTTGTGGCGGAGCGTCTCGCTAGTGGTGTCAGCCAGACCTACTCCGCCTCCGATGCCATTCAATTTGATGCACTGGTTGTCGCCCCCGGAGCGGAGAGTTTGTTTGCAGCTACCTCGTTGACTGCTCCTCAGGGCAACGCCACGACTTTGTATCCGGCGGGCCGTCCGCTGCAGATCCTCGTTGATGGGTTCCGCTTCGGAAAGCCCGTTGCCGCGCTGGGAAGTGGGTCCGGAGCTCTGAAGAGTGCAGGCATTGCGACCTCGAGAGACGGGGTCTACGTTGCAGACGAGGCATCGGACTCGTTCTTTGATAAGTTCACTGAGGGATTAAGGACATTCAAGTTCTTGGACCGGTTTGCCGTTGATAATTAGGCGATGAGCTGTGGTGGCATCCCTTCTGAGTATGCCTTGGTAGGAGGAGTGGGTGGCATCTGTCTATTCGCCTATATCGGTCGCTCTGTCCATTGCTCGGCTAGGTAACCGCTGCCCATGGTAGATTGATGACGGAAAATAAGCTGATATGGGCGCTGCCCTGACCGACTAATCTTTGATGTAATTATGATTAGCATTAGCCTTGCAAATATGAGCACAACTTCTGTTTCCTACATTATCGGCCACAAAAGAAGACGAACTTTATCTTGCTTGAGGTATTGGACAAGGCGCGGTTCTGAATTGAATCCTCCGAGGAATTAACCCATCAATTTACCACGGCATACCACCATTTATGATAACCTCTGTTCGACCCCGCTTGACCGCCTCGAACAAACAACCACCTCGAAACTCCCTCAACAGGCACGGTAACACAAAAGTATGACATAAATCTGACTTATCCCAGATATTCTAGTAGTGACACAGAAAAAGCAAGGGGGAAGAGGGGTCGCGATCCCCAAAACTGTCCGGTGTGACATTGAAAGAGGGAGCGGTAGCGGTGGGGTTGAAGCGCGGTGAGTCTCTCTCTCTCTCACCTTCGGAAGCAGAACCCGAAGATTGCTTTCGTTCATACGAGAAGCCAAAGTATCAATCAGTATTTATTCTACCCTCCTTCCATCTGTGAATCGTTTTTGTTGGTTGATACTCGGTTTACCTATTTTATGTCACTGTTTGCTTCCTGACTAAGGGATTCTTTGTGGTTCTTAAGAATTCGGTTTCAAGGTTTCAAGGCGAGATGACTTGATGATTGGAGGTCTTGTTCCCAGTTGTTTACTACCTTACTCTTTTACTCTCTCACATTTAGCCAAAAGGATCCGCATTGATAAGGTCGTACGATAAACCCCCTCCCTCCCCGCCTTTAAGACGGGTGAAAACCGAAGATAAGTTCACGAACTAACAACCACTGGAAAGTTGATAACACACTTGGGTACAGTAATGCTGAGTGGTCCAGCAAGCGGCAGCAGAAGCCGAACACCCCGCGGGCAGTGGGCACTGGTGGGCAGCTGAACCGATAAGTTAACTTTGGGCAGATGCAACTGCTGACGATCCCGCCTCGACGGAAGCCAATCGGGGGGTCCACCGGAGGGAATCTCGAGCCGAAAGGTGGCATGGAAGGGGTCATCAATCCCACCTTGCGGTCATCGTAAGGGCGCATGGGTATAAATAAAGGCTGAGCGGGGGAATCCTCCTCTGCTTACTGACTGGCTTTCTGTGATTGTGTCCGTAGGACTTTGTGTGTGTGAAAATGAAAGCTCGAGCATCTCATCTTGTTTCGCGGCCGCGGCTGGATCCTCTGGTGTTCTATCACAGGCTCTGTATCTCGACTTCTACTACTTCGCGCATAGCGGGATCTTCACCGACGAAGGCGGCAACTACTACGGTGCCGACAGCGAGTGGTACCGGGAATACAGCGCATCAACATCATCATCATCATCATGAGATTGCTTTTCCTGCAACGAGGACAACCTCCGCCGCGCAGCCCTCGTCTGTATCGGCCGCCCCTCTCGCCGGCCTCCCGACCCGAACCTTCCTGCGTTCTCTGTTCCTCACCAGCGTGATGGCATCGCCTCTGCTGACGCCCTGTCTGTCGCTCATGAAGTTGCTTGTTGACTCCCCTTCCAAGTTGCTGCGTCCCTCCTCCAACGCCGCGATGGACTATCTCCTCCGTCGCTCCATCTACGATCACTTCTGCGCGGGGACCAACGAGGTCGAAGTCCGCCACACGGTCCGGGAGATGAAACGGCTGGGCTTCAAGGGCGTGATTTTGGGGTATGCGAGAGAGTCGATCGCACATGTGAGCCCGAGCTCTCATCAGGAAACGATTGCCGCGGTGCTGCAGGGACAGCTACGACAGGCACAGTGGGAACAGGCGGTCAATGAATGGAAAGAGGGGAATCTACGCACTCTGAAGATGTTGGGTGAGGGGGACTACTTGGCTGTTAAGTATGCATTTCTCCGTCGCTGGGTGGATGGGCGGTTAAGATACACCGAGGTATTTAGTTGCTGATATATGACCCCTAACTAGATTCACTGGCGCTGGTCCGCTGGCGGTTCACTCACTCACGCGGAATGATCCCCATCCCCCGCCGCAAATCGCAGCTGCCATTCATGAGATATGTGCAGCCGTAGCAGCGCAAAAATCCCGGCTATGGATCGACGCGGAGCAGCAAGTGTTTCAAGCGGCGATTGATTCTTGGGCGGTGAATCTAATGAGGAGGTTCAATCGTCCTAGTTCCGAGACACCTCAGAAGGAACCCCCGATCGTTGTTTTGAATACCTACCAGGCCTATCTGAAGCGCTCGGCTGACATCCTCGCTGGTCATCTGCGTCTAGCGCGACAAGAGGGTTGGGGGTTAGGTGTGAAGTTAGTCCGAGGGGCGTATATTGCGCATGATCAACGGGCCAGGATCTGGGACACTAAAGAGGAGACAGACGCAAACTATAACGGAATTGTGAGGGCGCTGATTGAAAATCGCTACCCCTCCATCTCGAGAGGGGCAGGGTCTGAGCTTCGATCCGAGAGGGCGGAGGACCTTCCAACAGTGCGACTGTTCGTAGCTTCGCATAACGGGGAGAGTGTAGCCAAGGCGTGCACGCTCTACCAACAACGACAAAGGGAAGGCCGGAAGACGATTCCTGTCGAGGTGGGTCAGCTGCAGGGGATGGCGGACGAGGTTAGTTTGGGAATGGTCGCTGCTGGAGGTCATGCGGAAGCGAAGCCCGGGGTTTTCAAGTGCCTGGCCTGGGGTTCCACGGAGGAGTGTCTACACTTTCTGCTGCGGCGGGCGGTGGAGAATCAGTCCGCGATGCAGCGGACGAGGGATACAGCTCAGGCGTTACGAGGGGAGGCATGGAGGCGAATGGTGGCTTTGATGCGAGTATGATGCACCGAACTTATTATCTCCACCAGGAAGTGATCGAAATATGACGCGATGTGTAGATGGATCGATCTGATCTTGGGTGCCTTTCCTTTGTCGGTTCCTCCGTTCTTTGTACACCGTTGCACGCTAGGACCGAGGATCATAGGATCGGACCCCGCTTACTGCGAAGAATCTCGATTGCCTCGAGATAATCGGGGTCATCATCATCGATGACCGCCTCGCACTCGAACCCCTCGAGGAGTTCGAGCACGTAGTCCTGGCAGTCCCACTCGAGGGTCTCGTTGTCTACCAGGGCGGCGTCCACGACAGCCTGGATAGTGGGGATGTCCACGTTGCCAATGTCCGAGACCCTGATTGACTGGATGTACATGGGGATATTCCGGGGGTGGACGTGGGAAGTGACTTTGGTGAAACCTGGGTGTTCCCCGTCGACTTCGAACAGGTGATCGTCGGTGTCGGAGTGAAGATGGAGGGCCCAATGCTGGAAGTTGCCATAGCGAGGATGGAAGATGGCGACCGCGAGGTACGGAGACATGTTGGTGAGGAAGGTGACTGATGCTGATACGGTGGAAAATAGAAAAACTGTGTGCGAGCTTTTATATTATTATCTCTTCATTTGTTGTTTATCCAGGCAGTCAATATCCAACCAGGCAACCACCACCACCACCACTACTACCGCCCGGCCACCAGCCACAGCCGAACACATGGCTGCGGTGGCTGCGGTGGCTGCGGAGTCTTACCCCGCAAGACCCTGAGTTGGCTTGTCTTTTCCCTCTTCATCCCCTCAACTATACCAAGGTACAGCTCAGCATGGTGTCATTGCAGGTAACTTAACCATATTCCCAGAATTCCCAGCCAACTTGCTTCTACTGCAGTAAGTATGAGTAAGTTCGTTCTTTGACCTTGGAATTCTAGGCAAAATGGGGCCTCTATCCAATTAGTGGCCTCAATTCCCAGTCCCCGGACAGAGCCGGTGGCTGTTGCTTCCCCACATTCTCAGATGACTGGCTGGAATCCCCGTGATTGGACTTTTGGTGCCTGTCACTGACGCCATCAATTTCTGCTTCCGCTTCCGCTTCCACTTCCAAGTGAATTCTCCCCCATTTCCCCCCTAGCACGAGTATGTCCAACATGCCCAAGATTCATTCACTCCCTGACCCATCGGCCCATCCGGGTCGCTTTCCCCGTCATCTTTTGCTTTAAACCCCCCTCAATTCCCCTCTTCTCTTCTCTGCGCGATGTCTGGTCTGTCTATCTTTAGTCTTCTTCCCCTAAGTCGCCTCAATTCTCCTAGTTTCACCTTCGTGCAGCCGATCGACCTTGGCATTCCCACACTTGGACACGAGGGTGGATCGTCCATCGCAGCCAAATCTCCGATCGCAGGAACTTTGTCTGTCTAGGCTTGGTCTTTAAATTCTCATTTTCCGCGTCGCTGCGTTGCTCCTTTTTCTCTGCTCTGCTCTTGCAGTACTGTCGGATACGATCTCCGCACGGGTTCACTGCTCTCTCTTGTGACGGCCTACCGGCGCAGCAAGATGCAGCTCAAGGTATTTACCCCACAGATACCAAAGACACACACTGCCTTCAGAGAGAGAGGAAGCTAATGAACCCAGTCGCTGGTGAACTTATTGTCTCTGGGATTGGCTCTCCCTGCTGCTGTTGAGGGAGCCCCCCATCGACAGGCTCGTGTTGCCTCCGCTCTCCATCGTTACGGTGGCCGTGACTTGGTTGAGCCATCGAGCAATAATGCTTCCGGTGTTTACCCAACCCGGTTCGCGGGTGTCACCTGGGACGACGACAATTGGCGTCTCACGACTACTACCGTTGACCAGGGTCACTTCCAATCTCGAGGCTCGATCGCCAATGGTTACATAGGCATCAATGTCGCCAATGTCGGACCCTTCTTCGAGATGGACTCGGAGGAGAACGGTGATGTGATCAGCGGGTGGCCACTGTACTCCCGTCGCCAGTCCTTTGCGACTATTGCCGGCTTCTGGGACCGTCAGCCATTGACAAATAAGTCCAATTTCCCCTGGTTGTCTCAGTATGGCAGCGATAGTGTTATCAGCGGCGTTCCACACTGGAGTGGCTTGATCCTCGACCTGGGTGACGACACTTACCTTGATGCAGGAGTCGACAATCAGACCATCACTAACTTTCAATCAACCTTCGATTACAAGGCTGGTGTGTTGTCCTGGTCCTATACCTGGACCCCTGCCGGCGACAAAGGATCTTATGCTATCACTTATCGACTCTTCGCGCACAAGCTGAGTGTCAACCAGGCTGTGGTAGACTTGGAAATTGTACCTTCGACCGATGGCAACGCAACGGTTGCCAACGTGTTGGATGGATATTCGGCTGTCCGCACCGACTTTGTCGAGTCGGGAGAGGACGAAGGAGCCATCTTTTCTGCTGTGCGGCCATGGGGTGTGAGCAACGTCACTGCATACATCTATGCCACTCTAGATGCCTCAGACAATGTCGATCTGTCTTCTCGAACGCTCGTCACCAATAAGCCCTACGTACACACGAATGACTCCTCTATTGCTCAGGCAGTCAACGTTCGTTTCACTGCCAACGAGGCCGTCCGCGTCACCAAGTTCGTTGGCGCAGCCTCCACAGACTATTTCCTGACGACCCGCGAAACCGCCAAGCTTGCTGCTCAAGCCGGGCTGGCTCTGGGTTACTCCCGCTCGCTGCAATCGCACGTCGCAGAATGGGCGGAGATTCTGCATGAGAGCGCTGTCGATCGTTTTAATGACCCTATCACTGGCAAGCTACCTGCAGACCGCCACATCATTGACTCGGCCATTATTGCCGTTACCAACACGTATTACCTGCTGCAGAACACCGCAGGTCCTAACACACTTGCAACCACGGGTGGAATGCCTGTCAACATTGACAGTTGCGCTGTCGGTGGCCTGACCTCGGATTCCTATGCTGGCCAGATCTTTTGGGATGCGGATCTGTGGATGCAACCTGGACTGGTGGCGTCGCATCCCGAGTCGGCACAACGCTACACCAACTACCGCATTGCCTTGCACTATCAAGCCGAGGCCAATGTCAAGACTGCGTTTGCAGGCTCACAGAACCAGACTTCCTTCAGTTCTTCTGCCGCAATCTATCCGTGGACGAGCGGTCGATTCGGAAATTGCACTGCTACGGGGCCGTGCTGGGATTACCAGTACCATCTGAATGGCGACATTGGTCTGGCAATGATCAATCAATGGGTAACGAGTGGTGACACGGAATGGTTTCGCAATTATCTTTTCCCGATCTACGATTCGGTTGCCACGCTCTACGGAGACCTTGTTCAGCGAAACGGGTCAGCGTTCACATTGACTAATATGACCGATCCGGTAAGTCTGCAAGATACATCATACGAATATGAGCTGATTCCTTTAGGACGAGTACGCGAACTCAATCGATGCCGGTGGTTATACCATGCCACTTATTGCTGAGACCCTGAAGTATGCCAACCAGTTTCGCAAGCAATTTGGGCTGGAGGCGAACGAGACCTGGGATGAAATTGCGGAGAACGTTTTGATACTACGCGAGAATGGTGTAACCTTGGAGTACACTTCGATGAATGGATCGGCCGTTGTAAAGCAGGCTGATATTGTACTCAACACGTTTCCCTTGGCCTACGAGTCTGACAATTATACCACCGAGAATTCGCTGACGGACCTCGACTACGTAAGTGGTCTCTTACATATCGTTGGGGGGTATGCTAACTGGTGCAGTATGCAAACAAGCAATCCGCAGATGGCCCAGCCATGACTTATGCTATCTTCTCTATTGCTGCCAGCGATGTTTCTCCGTCTGGCTGCTCTGCCTACACCTACCATCAATATTCCTATGCGCCCTACTCACGAGGCCCTTGGTATCAGCTCTCTGAGCAGATGATCGACGATGCCAGTATCAATGGTGGCACTCATCCGGCCTTTCCCTTCCTGACTGGACACGGTGGTGCCAACCAGGTTGTGCTATTTGGCTATCTGGGGCTGCGTCTGTTGCCAGATGATATCCTCCACGTGGATCCCAACCCTCCACCCCAGATCCCGCACATCACCTACCGGACATTCTACTGGCGCGGTTGGCCGATTTCCGCCTGGTCAAACTACACCCACACTACTCTACAGCGCTCCTCTTCTGTGGCACCTCTAGCTTCAGCTGATGTTCGCTTCAACAGCACCGGTATCACCGTCCAGGTCGGCCTGTCTACGAGCGACACCACGGCTAGCTACACTCTTCCTCTTTTCGGGTCTTTGACAATCCCTAACCGTCAGATTGGGTCCATCAACACCACTCCGGGCAACCAGGTTCAGTGCCATCCGGTCTACTCGCCTGATGCTTATGAGCCTGGTCAGTTCCCTATTTCCGCCGTTGATGGTGCCACCTCGACTCGCTGGCAACCTTCTTCTGGAAATTTGTCTTCAATCACCGTGACTCTTTCTACAGGCAACACGCAATCCGCCGACAGTGTAACTGGTTTCTACTTTGACTGGTACCAGTCTCCCCCCAAGAATCTAAGCATCATCTTCCACGATGCGCCCATCACGCGGCCTGCACAGTTCTTCGCTGCTTCCGGCAACTCCACCTCGTCTTACCGTCTCATTGCCCAGCTGTCCGATGTGACCCAGTCGAGTCCCTATAACAGCGCCGCTATCGAAAAGGCCAACACTGTCTCTATCCCTAGTGGCAACACCACGACTATTACTCTGAGTGAGCCTGTTCGCAGTGCACGATTCGCCACCCTGTTGATAGCAGGTAACCAAGCAAGCGCGAACACAACTAAGGGTGCAACCGTGGCCGAGTGGGTGATCTTGAACGGCAACTCTACTACCGAGGCGAGCACCGCGAGCAAGCGGTCGCTGACAGCACGCGACAGGGCCACGTTAGCCCGCTTCTAGTTGTCGAGGTACCCTAGGGCCCTAGAGCTAATGAGTCTTTCTGGTGGTCAGTCTGGCCGACATCGGAGCTAGACGAGCTATGCTACGTACATGACGGGTTGGTTTCTTGCGTATCTAGTATCCTTTTCGCCGTCTTATTTCTTCTTCCTGCTCATGTCCCTTCTATCGTTATGTGCTCGGTTAAATGCCGGGCACGCAAACGACGTACATACAGACATACATAACCTCATTGCAATTAATCATAATATTCGGTTTGATGTATGATCCCTTCAGAGGTTGAGATAACGGGTGATCCAGTGATGATAGAAAAGGATGGAGCCAGGCTGTAAAGGAAGGTAGCAGTTCAGTTTGTATCTCGTATGGTCTTAGCCCGGTTCGAGGTGTTGTCATCCTTTCTAATCGAGTGAACAGCGGGCGCATGTTGATGTACAGCCACCATACCATGGCTGTAACCACGTATTTGTGGGCGGGGGGGGCTAAGAAGAGGCCAATCAATAACACGAAGGGAAAAAAATAAACCTCAAGACGCGATCAGTGATGAATCATGGGGCAAGCAAAAAAGGATAATCAAGGCCCGAGCCGCGGATCGAACGCGGGACCTCTCGCAGATATGCTTGGGTTTGGAATCCCTAAGCGAGAATCATACCACTAGACCACCCGGGCTTGTTATGTTGACTGGCTCAATGTTTGCGTTTATCTTCTAAAATTA